GAGAACGTGACCTTCAAAGGGTTTGGGAAAGGACGGTTCAATGGAAACGGTAAGTCCACCATCCATGGCCTTCTTTGCGGCAGTGGCTCGATGAACACGAGAATACGGGGGGGCGTCCTTTTTCACAGATCTAACCACTCTTCGACAGGCCAGGCTTGGTACAACGAGAACCGCAACAACAGCAACCAGCCAGGACGACCGATCGCATTCACCATCCTCAACGCGAAGAACCTGTGGATGGACGGCGTCTCGTGGAGCCAGGCGCAATTCTGGCACTCGTTCATCTCGCATTCGCAGAACGTCAGCATGTCGAATATCTACATGAACTCCACCAGCAACGACACGTGGTTCACCGTCAACACCGACGGCTCTGACACGTGGAACTCCAGGGACGTGTTCTACACCAACTGGACTGTTCTCGGAGGTACGTCCGGAAGGCATTTTACAAGTGCCGTCTCCTCTTGCCTTGTTCCCCGCCTGATAGTGTTGCCTTTGTTGACTAACACGAAACCGCACCAGGGGACGACTGCATCGCGATCAAAGGAAACAGCACCAACATCGTCTCGAAAAACATCACCTGCTATCGCACTCATGGTATGCCTATCGGTTCGGTTGGCCAACAGCCAGGACACCCGGACTTTGTACAGGACATAGTCTACGAGGACGTCCACCTCATCAACTCCACAAACGGTGCCTGGATCAAAGCGTGGCAAGGTCGCTCTCAATCCGTCACGAACAACGGAGGCAGCGGCGGCGGCGGAGGTGGATATATCAAGAACGTCACGTTCCGCAACTTCGTGCTCGAGAACGTCGGCCAGCCCATCAGTGTGACGCAGTGCGTGTACGGACATGATCCCAGCGTGTGCGACACGAGCGAGGTAAGTGATTATGTTGCTTTCGCTCCTAACCCTATCCCCCTTGCCTATCGAGTTCCGACTTTGATGGCGTGTGTTTGGCTAATTAACGGGCTGTTTCCCATGCGTAGCTGCAAATCTCCGACGTCACCTGGGAGAACATCACGGGAACGTCGCATTTCGACGTCGCCTCTGTCATCCATTGCTCTCCCCTGGTGCCGTGCCCCGGCATGAAGTTCATCGACGTGAACATCACCACGGTCAACGCCTCGCTCGGCAGACCGAGCCTCCCCGAAGTCAACGTGTGCGCGAATATAGTGAACCAGAACGCCACCGGCGACAACGCGACGGGAATCCCGTGCCACGGGTTCGCACCCAACGACATGCCCAACGTGCTCTACCGGAACTGGCCGGAGCTGCTGCAGAAAGTCATCCTGAGCGTGGTCGTCCCCGAAGCGCAAAGAGACAACTGTTTGCACCCGGGGCCAGATCCTGCAGCTGCTGGATGCGACCCCCCTCCCTATTGAGACATTCGTCAGCTGCTTGTGGGTAGTGGTTCGTCGCAAGGCAAGGGACGGTCATTATCAGAGTAAATGCTTTCACGAGGGAGATGCGACTGATGCCAGAGCCTTGCGTGCAGATATCACGCCATGTCGAGGCAATTACGGTCGTCGTTATGCGGATTTGTACCCCGACAAAAGAAAAAGGGAGAAAGAAGGAAATTGAGGTATGAAAAGGAGTCGCTTCATAGATGGAAATACAGAGTGCTTTTCAAACAGACAGTCATCTTCTTTGCCTGCACGATCTTCCGGAGCATCCCAGCAAACATGCGAACATATCCAGAGTTGCAGTCACGCTGATCTCATGTAATCGCCCAGGCATCCAAGAACAATGACCATAATTCCGCTCCCAAAGCAAGTTGCCTCCCTTCACACCGATTGGGTGGAGGCGAGTCACAAGGAGGCGGTAGGTGAGTAGGTTCTACTCTCCCAGAGAAGAAGGCTGGAAAGGGTTGGACATCTTTAAGTTCCAACCACAGACCTTCAGCTTGCGCCACGAATCAGAAACGGAGCCATGGAAAGTCCCGTGAGAACTTTGAACGTGCCTCGTGTTCTTTCGACACGTCCTTCCTCTGGTTCCTCCCGCTTGAGGCACGCGAGTCGCCCTGAGACTTACCTCGCTGCGAGTCTTCGAGCATTTTCCAGCGGAAGACTTGATTTGAGTGATCACTCTTTGTTGCATGGCGTTATCTCTGACTTCAAGTCGCAGATGGACAACAGGGAAGCGGAGCAGGTACTATCTTAAACGAGAAAGCGCTACATCCTGAGTCTATGCAAGGCAAGCATGATCAAGAGGATGGAACAAACTGATCCCAACATTTCTCTGGGCCAGCTCGTAAAGAAGGAGCACATGTCCTGGGGCGGCAGGGCTATTACGTCGGCACAATCAACGTTAACGGGTCATTTTCTCGACAAGCAGAGTCGCTTTGACCAATTTGGCTTCCATCTGACGTTGCCCGACCACCTGCAAACCGATAGGGAACCCTTCATATCGCTGGCGCTTCTCCTTTGTGTCTGCATGAAAATTAGAAAATTGCTCTACCGAGGGTTTCTAGTTCATGGAATGGAGAAAGCAATTTGGAACAATGTACTCACATATAGATTGCACCCTTTCATCCATCGGGCCACGAGGAGGAGGCAATTCAACGTCGTCTTTGCTTAGATCCACGGAGCCACATTGCACAATGGCGGCAGGATAGTCCAGCACATTCCAAATCCGCGAGAAGTGACTGCGGATCAAAGTGTCGTGCGGTCGTGGCAGACAGCTCTGTGGAGGGGTGAGGATGACATCCACTGGCCGCCCTGAACGGGTTCGCTTCGCTGTTGACGCCCAGTATTCCAGCCAGTCGGTCTGGAGCTGCAGCCTCTCTGCACTCAGCGCGAACAGATCGGCCAGGGTGCCTTCTTCACACGGATACAGGCCGCCTTGCTTGACAGACTCCGTGTAAGGCTCCCCAGTGAGATTACGAGCGGCGTCAAGAGCCTTTCAACATCAGCATTGCGCTCCTATCGATCGATGGCCTGCAAAACCCACCTTTCCGCCTTCGATCCTGAAGTGTCCGACCGCGTTTTTGGCCAGTTCGGCGCACTTGTAGAATTCCATATCAACAATTTCATGACCGGCTGCTGAAAGTCTGTCGCAGGTCTCTCTGAGGATACGAAGCAGGGGCGGCAAAGGAGTGGTTTCATGGTCTTCCCAGATGACACCAAACACCAAGGGTCGCTCCGGCAGTGGTTGTGAGTCCCAAGGCAAATAGCTACATCCGGGATCGTAAAGCCAGGGCTCTGCATCTGATACTGCGCGGAGAAGTAGCTCACAGTCTCTCATTGAAACGGCCAGAACGCCGTTTACGCACAGAATGCCGACTGTCTCTGCTCCGTCTGTCAAATAACCCTGAAGTCGGTGGTAGGGGAGGCGGCCTGAAGATGGTTTGACCGCATAGACTCCATTGCAATAGGCTGGTATCCTATTACACGAGAACAGATATTAGAAGAGGTCTCTTAACAACGAAGACGAGGAGGGTTGGGGATCTTACCTCACTGATCCTCCCACATCTGTCCCTATCCCCATCAAGGCTCCTCGAATACCAAGTAAAGCCCCCAGTCCACCCGAGCTCCCGGCGGCCGTTAGATGCTTGGATCTGGCATTCCGAGACTGCCCGAACACAAAGTTCTCTGTATCGGGCGTCATCATGGATTGTGGGACATTGGTCTTGACGTACATGACAGCCCCGAGTGACAGGAGCATGTCGACGACGACCGAGTTCCGCGTGACGGGCTTGAACGCGAACGCCGCCATTCCGATGGTCGAATCAACGCCCGCCACATTGATGCTGTCTTTCAGAGCGATCGGCAGCCCGTGCAAGGGACCCAGGGGTTTCCCGGTCCGGTCGAGGTGGTCGTCAAGGTACGCCGCGCGCTCCAGGGCTTGGTCGAAGAAGATTTCCGTCAGGCAGTTCAAGGCCTGTTGCGCGATGGCAGCTCTCTGTGTGCGTAGACAAGAGGGCCCATCAGCCACCGACTCCAAAGACTCAATGGACACTGCGTAATCTTTCGTGGACAAACAAAGAGCTTGCTCACTCACGCTGCTCAGGGCCTTGTTTGAGTCTCTGACAGCGGCTCAGGTATGTACATGTACCCGCGACACATTCGTGGCATGCCGCCCAAGGGAAACTTACTTTACAAAACGCCCTCGTCACTTCAACGCTGCTGTACTCCCTCGCGTGGATTTTCTCCAACAAGGCGACCGAGTCGTGCTTTTCCGTGATGTCCAGCTCTCGCTGCGACAGCAGGGAGCAAGACCGCGGGAGGTCGAGCAGGTTGTCGTCGTCCTCGGGGATCGATATCCTCCACTCCGCCGGGATTTTGCTCTCTCGCTCTGCCACCTTGCGGCGACTGATTTCGAGATAGGCGGGCTCTGTCGGCATGATCATTGCGAATCGTCTATTGGAATCTGATGTGGGCTCGGTCCTCTTGAAATCGGTCAAGCAATTGCAGTCGTGGATAATCTATTTCTTCTACTTTGGTAGCGTCTGTATTTCTCTTTATGGGACTATTCTTAGCAACAAATGATTCGACCGTACAAGATCCCTTTCGTCAAAACTCAAATGGAACCTGTTCGTCGTGGATCTCCATAACACCAAGTCGCTTACCTAAATGCTTCAGTGACCGCATCGGATTTCCCGCCGCATTTGCCCTTGTACCATCGTCGGCAGGAGCCGTTCTCCGTTCCCTTTTTGCGACCCTAGGCAATCATACCGATATTCCACATGTCCACCGGCAGCATTTGATATAGCAAACTTCCCTGGCCTTTGGAGTTAATCCGATTTTTGTTTTTCACATACCTATCTTGGTAAAGCGGGGTTTCTGCATCTCCCAAACAGCATCTTTGCATACACTGCGGATACCGCTGGTCGTCTATCCGCTCTGATCGATCTTCGGACTGCCAGAATTCCAGCATCACTACGCCATCTTGCACAGAACTTCATCACCAGCTTCGACCTCTGACAGACCTTCTCTTTGAACTCTTGGGAGTTGGCTTGCACAAAACCACACGCACTACATACATACCCGGCGCAAACTCAGCATGGTGATCGAGGACAAGAAATATTCGTTCGATCGCGATCTGATCGGCTACGGCCAGCAAGGCAGAAATGCGGAATGGCCGAAAGGAGCACGCATTGCAGTCAGTATATGTGTGAATTACGAGTAAGTTGATCCTCTTCGAGCAATTTGTGATTTGCGACCGCACAACGGGGTTCTTTGAAGGACAGGACAAGTACCCTCAATTTTCTCCACGAGATAGTGGTATTCTTTGCTTGCTTGGCTTTATTTCACATGCTGGACTCGAAACTGAAAGAATTTCCAACCCAAAGGGAAGGCGCAGAGTCAACGGTGTTGAACGGAGATGGTCAATCAGAGATCATGAACTGGGAAAAGGGTAAGCGGAACTCTACTCGCATCTTCCTTGAGAGGTATAGATGATATACCAACAAAGACGGTTGGGCTGGGTGTCTATATCCTCCAAATCATCTGAACTGACATGGAATATCGCTCTGTCCCACTCTAGCCGGCGGACCTGCCTTCGTCAACGCACGCCAACCCAATGTCGAATCCGAGTACGCGTACGGTTCGCGCTCGGGAATCTGGAGGCTGCTGCGAATTTTCGCGGAGCGCTCCTATCCATTCACCCTGCTGGCCGTGGGACAAGCTCTGGAAATGAACCCGGCCGTGGCCAAGGCCTGTGTCGAAGCCGGCCACGAGATCGCCGGCCACGGATACCGCTGGCTTGATTCTCGAGACCTACCACCCGCGGAGGAGAAGGAAACGGTGAAGAGGGCCATCCAGGCGATCCAGAACACGGCCGGGGTGGACCCGACAGGTTGGTACGTGGGCAGGATCAGCCCGAACAGTATCGGCGTGGTGTGGGAGGCGTTCGAGGAGATGGGACTGCAGTTGAAGTGGCAGAGCGACTTTTACGGCGACGATGTGCCTGTCTGGACACACCTGCCCGCCGGGCTGGTGAGTGTGCAAGAAGAACAAGCAACTCGGCGGCGGCAGCAGCAGCAGGGAAAAGACGCAAGGCCGAAAGAAGGCCTTTTGCACGTCCCCTACTCGTACGACTGCAACGACATGAAATTCCATTTCGCGGCTGACGGGTTTGGCGGCGCGTCGTTCTTCGAGTACCTGGTGGACGCCTTCGACATGTTGTACGAGGAAGGCGGGAAGATGATGTCGATCGGCATCCATCCACGAATCGTGGGCAAGCCCGGCCGTGCCAGGCAGTTGCAGAGGTTTCTGAACTATATCAGCTCCAAACCGGACGTCTGGGTGTGTACTCGAGCAGATATTGCGGCGCATTGGAGGGATCGGTTTCCATATCAAACCGTGCCGGGAAGCGACTGATTCTTTGTGGCCCGCACACTAATAGCCTTCTTCAAGTGGAATATTCTTGTCTCTCTCTGAGCTTTAAGCAGCCAGAATTGAAACGACAGGGTACAGCCCGAGGATCAGAAATCTCCCCACATAGACCAGCCATCCGTGGGAAATGTGTCCATGGCTTGAATGATGCCATCGTACATCCATGTTTCGTTGATTTGATAATCTCCAAGCACAGTTTCAAAGCTGTCCCAAACGCTATCCTGGACTCTATTCTCCGCAAATCGATCGCTGTTATTACCTCCATTGCTGCTCAGCAGTGATTGCTCCGCGAGTGCATGTTGTCCCTGAGTGATTCTGCCCGAGACGCGAGTAGTCCGCCCAGAGGACGACGCAGAAGAATTGCCATGATTTCCCTCGATTGTGGCGGAGACGAGACTCTCAAAGGCATTGCGGACTTTTCGGGCCGCTGGCCAGCGTTCCGAAATGGCGTACAGCATCGTGCTGCAGGCGCGGATGTCACTGCTAAAATTGGCATCGAAGAGCGTCGGATCCAGACAGAAACAGTAGACCAGAGCAAGCCCGGCCACGAAATTAGCATGCAACGCGAGGAGCGAGAACGAAATGTAGGACTGATTGTTGTGCAGCCTTTTGTACATCTGACAGATTTGTCCGGCCGAGTAGGCGAACAAGCGAAAGTCGGGGTGCGACGGTGAAAGCGACGGAAGCAAAGGGAGGAACAGGAGCACCAAGGCCTTGTGGTATTGTATCATGTGGTAGTCGGTGGTGCTGTAAGGGAGCTTCCCTTCTTTCTCTGGATGTGAGACGTATGGGATGGCAGCCTTCCACTCCTCGAGTGCATTTCGAAGTTTGGCAATCTTGTGCGACTTGATCTCGGATATGGGTTTGTCCACCCGGCAGACGGTATGGGAGATTTTGGATTCTAGTTGTTGGATCCGAATAATGTGGATAGCGGGTGTAAGGGAGGTGATGCGACGTGGATTTGCCAGTGACTGCGCAATTGCGGCAGTGATCTCTTCTTCCGTTTCGTACGAGTCCTCGATGTTTGCCGGTAGTGCAACGTCGATATCTCTATCTGACACAGAGTATGGACGACCAACGGTCCTGGCAACAGACCTTTCCAACATGTACGCCGTCCAGAATATGCGTTTGCGCCGCTGATCGACCAGGTTGGAAAGATTATTTGTCTTTCGATGTAGACCACCGTCGAGGCAATGTCGCATCGTCGTACCTATCATCCACCTGCCAGAGGTTAGTGAGCGACTGAGAAACGTAACTGGTAGCCTCCTTACCATACGCCTGGACCAGTAGGCGATCTTAACTGGTAGATGGACAACAGGAGCATTGCTTCCAAGTTCTCCAGGCTGCGCACATCTGAGATTATATCAATCTCTGTCAAAGCAGCGGCGTAGTGAGACTACTGACGTTAGAATCCCATGTCTCGCTTTTAGAATATATCTTGGCGCACAAACCTCAGGTGATGGATGCGAGTTGTCATCCGCCAGTTGCAGGTACCTTGCCCCAATGGCATAAACCAAATGCAGAATAGCATAGTCTAATCGACTCGACCGGGCTTCCTTCGATTGTGAATGATGCGCAGACATGAGACTCGCTCGATCTTGATGCAGAGCATGAACCCTCTTCTTAGACAAGAAAGGGTGCTTGGGGTACACCTTCAGCAGATAAGTGCTGGTGAGTTCTTCCCCCATTTTATCGGCAGGCATCTCAGCGAAAACAAGGCTGTCGGATCCCGGATGCTGCTTGGATTGCTCAGAGGTGACAGGTCTGTCCGATCTAAGGCGCGATTCCCGTGTTGAACTTGAATCCAGGTTTGGCACATTCATTGCAGATTTGACCAATTTAGCAAGCTGAAACCCACTGGATGTTCCAAGATAAGAGTTGGGCGACAATGCAACGAAGCCGACCCCCAATTCCAGGCTTGGCTCTGAGTTCTCTTCTCTGTCATCTTGGCCCTGCGGCTCGGCAGACACTCTCGATGAGCTAGGTGCTGTCGCCTCGTTCAAATTTGCGAGATGGTCTGCTGCTAATTTGGGGTCGACGGAGGTCAATGACTGCTCTAGGTGAGCGATGTGGTTCTCCAATGACCTGACGTATTCTGACGGATATACTTGCTTGACGCCGTAAGAGCAAGGCTCGCCGGCAGAGAGGCAGTTGGAACAGGAAGGGAACTCATTGTCACAGCGTTGCTTGCGGCCTTTGCATCGCTGGCAAGCAACGGCGCTTCGGGCTCGTCGTTTGGCTGGTCGCTCTTGCACGCCGTCGTCTTGCGGACTGAAGTGTTGCACTGCATGCATGTTGGCTCTTTTCCAGGCTTTCGACAGCCGCTCCAGTTGGAACTGAATTTGTAACGTTCAGGACACTCGAGGTCGGCTTCTTGAGCCCCGTTACCGCATCCGCGGTACCATTTTCCACACAATTATGCCCATTCTTGTCCGTATAGGTGAGCTTTAGGAGTTAACTCTTCATTTGACGATCAATGCTTGTCCGCCTTCTCTGTAGCTGAGATGTCAACGGAACCATGTTGTTCTGTTGACCTCTGAGCATTGGTCTCGGAGAGTCAGCCTCGGGTGGCTTTAGTGGCTTGACGCAACTGATGCGGCAAGTGGCCCGAGCGACGGTCCACCCTTATCGTTGCGCCTTGCCATATTAGGGCAATAGCCTCACGTGATATGTGCGCCACTCCGAACTTTGATAAGGCTGATGAAATTCCTTCAGATGGGAGAAGCCAACAATTATTATCACTGTTGATCCCACACTCCGGAAGTGAGAATCCGCACAACGCTATGTGCGGCTCGTGCGACAGGTCCAGAAGTCTAGGAGAAGTCCGCCATCCTTCAATGGAGGCGGCAGGATCCCGCAATCAACACTTCGGATATCCGCCACATGGTGTTTGACCACGATTCGGTTCTCACTTCGAAACTAACCAATCATGGCTGAGAAGCCTTGTTCAATTGGCTGACTCCTTTAGCTTTATCGCCTTTGTGCAAGGCTCCGATGAAGCATTGACTTCGGAGTAATGCCATTGCTAAGGGTTTGTCGACGTAGGCGGGTCTGCCGAACACCCTGAAATACCTGTGGTCTTACGATGTCAGCCGATTGATGTCGTGCACCGGGACAGGACTAACCAATATGATCTCGCCCATTCTTTTCAAGATAAGGAGGACTAGTCTATGTTGTCTCTAGAGGGACACATATGATGGCCTGGAGAGCTGCCCAGCCTTGCTAGCAGCATTCTTAGGCCGATGATCGAGTCTTCGGAAATCCCGTCTCTGCTATATTCGACTAGGCTGGTCGATATCAAAGTACTTTACAAGTCGAGAGATACTATCATTGACCCGAGCGGCAGCTATAACTATATCCACGGATCGCCGCATGCTGTCTCGTCGCGGCTTCGACAAAACCGTTTGAACACTCCGTGAAGTGTCTGGGAAGAATTCTTGACGCCTTGTCCAAACATGACCGTCAAATCTTTCCTCCGCCGACTTGATCAGCGGATTCAGACTCAAGAAAGCAGGATCCAGAAGAGAGAGGGGACGAGGAGATGGGGAAATGAAGATCTCGACCCGACACCGTATGTTTTGCCCTTGCCTTTGACTACTGTTGTTCCTGACACGCCATACAGGGTCCAGCAACGAACATGGAGGCATTGGAATTACTTCATGTTCTTTTGGGCGGTTTCCTTCAATCCGAATCAATGGAACACGGGCTCAAGCCTGGTGAACCAGGGACTAGTGAGTCCGTCACAAATGACCTCTGCTCATGTCTAGCTGACGCAGACTAGAAATGGTGGCAAGCTCTCCTCTCCATCGCAGTGGGAAACTTGCTCTGTTCCGTCGTCCTGGTCATTCAATCTCGTGGACCCGCTGTTTATCACATTGGATATCCGGCATTTGTACGCGCCAGTGCCGGCATGTTTGGGTCTTTGTGGTTCATCTTCCTCCGAGGCTGTGTCGCCATCATCTACTTTGCAACCCAGACATTTTACGCGGGCAAGTTGTTTGACGTGATGCTTCGGTGCGCATTTGGCCACAACTGGCAGGACATTCCGAACCACTTACCAGAAAGCGCCGGCATCACCACCAGGGGCCTTGCCGCGTTCTTCCTCTACTGGGCAGTCCAGCTGCCCTTTATGCTGATCCACCCCCAACGCGCCAAGTGGCTCTATACGATCAAGAGCACAATTGCCCCTCCCGTGCTGATCGCGGTTTTTGGGTACGTGGTGGGCAAGAACGGGGGGTTGACGGGCTCGTCGCAGATCACCAAGACCTCGACCACCACCGCTCTCGGATGGGCGTTCATGAACGGCATCAACTCTGTTTGCGGAAGCATCTCTCCCGAGATCATGTCCAACGCGGACCTCGCCAGGTACGCCCACAAGCCCTCGGATGCCGCGTGGGCTCAAGCCGTGGGTATCTTCACGAGCAAAACGTTTGTCATCTTCATGGGCATTGCCTGCTCAAGCGCCTCGATGAACCTCTGGGGCACTGCGTATTGGAACATGTGGGACCTCCTGGGTGCCATTTTGGACCACAACTGGAATGCCGGGGCGCGCACGGCCATCTTCCTCGTCTGCCTGATCCAGGCACTTGCTGTCATGGCAACCAATCTGGCGTCAAACTGCTTGCCTGTGGGCGCGGACTTGACGGGGCTGTTTCCCAGGTACTTCAAGTAAGTCTCGGTTCTACGACGCATTCTATTCGTGGCCTGCTAACAGCTATACCCCAGCATTCCACGTGGCCAGGTCTTTTGCGCAGTCATCAGTCTCGCCGTGGTGCCCTGGAAACTACTGGCGTCGGCACAGACCTTCCTGACCTTCCTGGGGTCCTACGTCGTCTTCATTGCACCAGTGATCGCCATAATGATGTAAGTCTCTCCCAGTTGTATGTTGGAGGCCGTTCCCATTCTAACTGTGAATCCAGCGTCGATTACTGGATCGTCCGTAAGGGCAACATCCACGTGCCGTCTCTGTACGACGACAGTCCCGACAGCCCTTATTTCTACTGGAAGGGCTTCAACCTCCGCATGTTCGCGGCGTGGGTTGCCGGCGTCGTCATCGTGATCCATGGGCTCGCTGGGTCGTACAATCCCCATTTCAGCCAGGCCAGCAAGGACATGTACACGATGGGCTTCATCCTGGCGTCCCTGACAGGCGGTCTGGCATACTACATCCTCGTCCGCATCTGGCCGATCAAGCCGTACCCGGCGGATCGTGACGGCAAACCCATGACGCTGGAGTATCTTGGTCGGACAGACGGGTACTTTGAGGACGACGTTATCGACGGAGTCAGCAGCGGGCACCAGCAGGAGGCGTATGACGAGATGATGACCCCTAAGGAGAAGGATGTGGCGCACACTTTCACGACGTTGGCCTGAAATATTCCTTCTCATGGGATAGGTAATGTGCAAACGTCGTCATGGGTGCTGAATGTCGATGGGATGCACGCTATATATCAAATATGGCTGGCAATACGGCCAAGGACCAAGGGATAGACTGTCACCGCTTTCTCAAGACCAAATGGAATACTCTGTATAATGAAGATCGACTTGGATTGGATGTCATGTGTCAAATGGCATTTGCTCTGCTACCCATACACACCGCCCTGCCTCCTCGGCACCATTTGAACCTCGTTTTCGCTCGCTGCCCTCTGCGATGATCTTCTAGCCTGCCAGCACCCACGAGATGCAGACTCCAGAAATAGAAGCAAAAGCCTTTACTGTCGAGTTCGTGGTCTGAGAGCAGCTTTTAGGCCCAGCCATGTTGTATTGCATCATTTACTGCTTGCTGAAGAGTGATTGTTCAAGCGCGCTTGCCTGGTTCACTGGCTGGATCGGTCGGTTTCTGGTTCCCTTCGAGGAGCACAGCGTCGCCGGATAATGTTTGATGCATCGGCATTCCCTAACACCAATCGGAATTTGCCGAAAAGATCATATCTGCGCGCTGGCACTGCTCCGCCCTTATCTCAGGACTTAGCGTCAATTTCGGCAGTGCCGATACAAGATTGGCAGAAGCGTGTCGTTTCGGAAGATGCGAAGTGATTTCGTCAGAGGAACCACCCCAGCTTGCCGGCATCGTGATCACGCTCGCTGCATGCGGGTATTGATCTGCAAAGGCCGAGCAGGCTATTCCAAGAGAAGCTGGCCAAAGGGTGCCGTTGGTCGCCAGCATCACGGCCTTTTGCAAATTTGTGACAGAAAAGAACCACATTCATTTACCCACTTCATCCCCCGTGGAGCGTAATGGCATCGATCCATTGGCTCTGTAGCGTGTTTCTCCTGGCCGTCAGCCACGACGGCTTTGGTTCTTCAAGGATGAAGTTTTGGGGATGTCGGAAAACTCGGGGTTGAGAGCTTCATTCACGCCTAATTCCCCCTCGGATCTTCGTGCGTGCTTCGTCTTTGTACCGAGCAGTTACCGTTGACACAAGCATTGATGGTGCATATATGCAGAGTCAGTCGGTGGTGTCGTGCTCAAGACTGTGCTTCTCACTCTGCCGCTTCTTCAAGCCTCGCCAACCCCTCTCAATTTTGTCGTTAGGTGAGGAAGGAGTCGATATTCGGCCGGACAAGGTCTTGCATCACAACCATGGCCGAGTCTGTTTCTGAGAATGATTCCAAAGAGCACCACGAGCTTCGGACAGCTGCTCAAGCGACCGACCTCGAGATAAAATCCGCCCCAGTCACCGTCACCAGTGACGGGACAACAGACACCAGCGACAGGAAACTGGAGTGCAAACCACAGATCGAACTCACCGACCAGACTCAAAGACTTCCTTTTGCGAGGCTGATCATCGTCTACTTGTGTCTTGCCATGTGCTTCTTCGTCTCTTTTCTGGACGTCAATTCTACGACGACTGCTTTGCCAGCAATTGCTCGTTCATTGGGCATCTCCAGCACCATTACCTGGGTCGGCACTTCGTACCTTCTGGCCCAGTGCGCCTTCCAAGTGCTCTACGGGCGACTGGCCGATATATTTGGACGGAAGCCCGTATTGATTGGCTGCGTGCTCAGCTTGATCATTGGCGATATTCTGTGTGGATTTGCCAAGAACGGGCCCTGGCTCTACACCTGTCGAGCCATCGGAGGTATTGGAGGAGGAGGGATCAGTTCACTGGTACAGATCACGGTCAGCGACCTTGTTTCTCTGAAAGAGCGAGGGAAATATCAGGGCCTGCTGAGTGGAGCGATCGGGCTTGGAGCTGGTGCTGGCCCTTTTACGTCCGCGGCGTTGGTCCAAGGACATGATGGACGATGGCCTTGGGCTTTCTGGGTTCCCGCGATACTGGCATCATTGTGCATCCCACCACTGGTGATTCTTCTCCCGCAAAAGCCGGTGGTCGGGAACTGGAAAGAGAAGGTGCGCAAAGTGGACTGGATGGGTCTTTTGACTGCGGTGACAGGGATCTTATTCGTTTTGGTATGGCCTTTTGCTTTGTTTCACTGTCAAATCTCCTCCCCCAAGCTTAGATTGTTGGTGTTGCTTGCCAGCTGACCTGCATCGTTTTGACCTTGCTCGCAGATCCCTGTCAACTCCGGAGGAAGCGTCTTCCCGTGGCACAGCTCACTTGTCATCGCGTTATTGACAGTGGGATCGGTGCTAACGATCTCCTTTTGCCTTGTCGAGTGGAAGCTGGCGCGGCTGCCGATGATGCCACTTCGTCTGTATTCGTCGCTATCACGCGGGACGCTGTTCGCGCAGAATTTTCTCTTTGGATTTGTGTGGCAAGCAGACCTGTACTTCTTGCCGATTTATTATCAAGACGTCCGTGGCTTTGCCCCGCTCAGGTCTGCCTATCTTACATTGCCCCTACTTCTCGCCCAGAGTGCTGGTGGAGTTCTCTCGGCCCCTGCCATGACTTTCACTGCAAGGTTCGTACAATGGACTCATGAGAACGGCGCTTGTGAGGATTATATGTATGTCTAACATGGGGTCTTAGGTACATGCCGGTCCTTTGGTTAGGATTCGTTCTTTGGACGGTTGGGGCAGGATTAAAGCTGTTATTTTCGCGCTCCACTACCATCGGAGTGTATGTGGTGGCTGCCCTTGTCGAAGGTGCAGGCGTCGGGTTTGTTTTCCAACCATGTAAGGTGTCCACCCCATGCCCGGTTTCTTTCTTTACACATCTTATGAGATATGTCTGTTAACGGTATCTGGTCTCAGCTCTCGTGGCATTGCAAGCCCTCTCAACAAAAGCAGACGTTGCTGTGACCACTTCAACTCGAAACTGGGTCCGGGCATTGGGTTCTGCGGTCGGAGTGGCCGTGTCAACGGCCATCCAATACGCCGTGACCGTTAGTTCGTTACCAGCTGGTCTGCCCGCAGACGTCGCATCAGCGGTCAAAGATGGGACCTGGACTATTGGTGGTGTGGCGCCTAGCTGGGACAAGGCTGTTCTAGATGCCAAAATGAGGGGTATCAACCGGGTTTTTATCACGTTCTTGCCTCTTATCGGACTGTGTCTGGTTGGATGTTTGTGGATCCGCGACATTCCCCTGCGTGGAGATGACGAAGAAGACAAGCAAACGAATCAAAAGCGACTGATTTCGAGGTGCAACAAGTTGACAGAGATGATGCCGAGAAACGCGGGTTGAAGGTGCACCAGAAGTTGGATATAAATGTGGTTCGGCGGGGAAAAAAGAGATGCCGGAGCCCGGAATCCAATATCCATGGCTTGGCGCCAAGACCTCGACTCTGGACGACCCATTATTTAAGACCTTATCCCTTCGCTCCTCCCTTTTTCTTCTACTACACCTGGGGAAGTGTGCTCATGTCGAGATTTGAGCGATACGAATACGGGTACAGGGGAGTTGACATAGTGCCCTTCCAGCTTTCTTGACAATTTGTCAAAGCTGACCTTGTCTGTGATGAATATCAAAGGCGGGAAAATGACCAGCAATAACGTGGACGCATCTGCGATATGAGCCGAGTTCATGCCCCAACCTGAGACCAGTGTAGCAAAGGCACGGTGTAATGTCAGACGCTTGAAAAAGCGGGCTTGTGGCTATTAGAGAAAGCTGCTGCGGCTTCCTACCTTGCCACTCATTTGGGCCTCCATCCCGGACTTTCGAGGGGAATGTGCAGGAAGAATGGACACCGGTCTCCTGCTGTACCGCCTGGCCGAGAAACTGCCAACCACGAGCTTTTGCAGTGTTCGGGCCCTGCGAAGAGATGGATTCGAACAAGGGAACACAGATTCGGAGAGTTATTCAGAGAGGTATTCGGACACGCGTAGTTATAGAAGATACAAGCGGTTGTTCCGAGCAAAACAAAGACGTCTGGCAATTAGCGATCTACCACATTTGTTTACCATCCCAAGCAAGAATAAAACATCAAACTGATAAAGAGTCCTCGGCGTGCAAATCGACAGGGCGCCACAGATATCCAAAGACTATCGAAGATCTCGAGTCCTTTTCCTTACAGCCCTTCTTCACCCTCGCAGCCGTCGTCGCATGCTGATATGCGTCGCCTGAAAATACGAAAGGGGTTTGTCAGAACATGGAATCGACGCCCATAATCATCTGCCTAGGATTGTGGAAAGATATGAGAGGCTTTGTTGGCAGTAAGCTGGCCTTAGGATTGCAAATATCATATCAACGGCTTCCAGACGTTCATGCTCACAGACGCCGAGTCCAGCTGGACTTAAGAGATGGCCTGATTTGATACTGTTGAAGTGAAATACTGCTGACCCCAGACGACCAAAACTTGCCGAAGCACAGTAAGAGTCAAGCTGGTTACGACGGGCACAGTCCTTTGCCATTTCCCACACTTCTCTTCTTTTTATCGTACCCAAGAAGAAGGATTACAGAAATCTGAACGTTTCACATTCCGCCAGCCACTGAAACCATTGGATTTCCCCATGAAGGATGAAGTCAATATCCAAGCCTGTTGGCCGAGTAATGGTGGTCCATATTCTTCTGTAGAACGAACGAAACTTGGGAAGCCGTTGAGCCCCCACAAAACCTCACTTTGAGAATCGGCCAGCACGCAGAAATAGGAGCCAAGAAGGGATCTAATGAAAACATGTTGAAACTCTCCCTCAATGTGAGCTGTCCAAATAAATCAACGCGCTTTTTTTAGACACCCTTCAGGCTGTTGTTCCTCACGGCTTGAATGTCCACCTTCTTCAAAGTGTCGGCCAAGTTGACCTTGCCGCCGTCGGTGATCATGGGCGGGCCCTGGTAGCCCTTCCGCGCGCCGAAGAACCACCATGCGGCAACGAAGATGGTGAAGCCGCCCCAGATGAGACATGCGTAGTTCATCGTCTGGGCGTCCGTCGGGAGGTAGTACGGGAAGCAGTAGATGACGAACCACACCATCATGTACGCGCAGGCGATGAAGTTGAAGATGAAGCCCAGGGCGCCTTTGAGGTGGAATGGGCCGTAGACTTCGATGTTACGCCGCTTGGTCAGGAGATGGGGCAGTATCGCAGCGATGTATGCTGTGTGGGTTTGACGTTAGCATCGAAACGTGTATATTACGATAGAGAGGAGATTGAGGGCTGGATATCTGCCCTCTACGGCTCTCCCAAGGAAAACTTACAGGAGCTTGACAACAGGACGAACGATCCGACAAAGGCATTGAATGCAGTGGTGCTCCCAACATAGATGGCTCCGAGGATTGTCACCAAGATGGCGGACACGATGGTGGCGTTGAACGGCATGCCGAGTCTCTGAGACACCTTGCCCAAGACCTTGGGGAAGGGCGTGGCCCCGTCTCGCGAAAGAGCCCACAGCGTCCGCCCACACGTAATGTACAGGCCGCACACGCAGATGCCGATGCAGATGAGGACGAGGGTGAGGAGGCCGATGGCGCCGCTGGCCGAGCCGGTGGCCTGACGGTAGATCTCGGCGATCGGGTAGGGGGAGTTGAACAGGGCATCGTAGTCGTTGATCGCGTACAGGATGGCGATCAGGTAGGAAAAGCCGGTGATGAAGCCGATGCTCATCTGGCAGGCAATGGCGATAGGCACGTTTCGCTGAGGATAGGGGATTTCCTCCGCAAGGTGACTAAATCGGGTATTAACATCTTCCACGTACAATTCTTTTCCGAGAGAGCTCCTGACCTTGTGGTGTCTGGGGTTCCCACGCTGAACGCCCCGTTGAGCATGCCTGCAACGAAGACAAACTAGAATTCCACCGGAGTCAGTATTTGAAGCATTCCTCCTGCTTTTCTGCAGCTGGTGAAAACTCACCCCATTGGGATACCCGATGTCGGCAGTCCATTCAGTCCAAACAAATGATGAAGATGCGTGGCCCGGTCGGCCGTCCTGGCCTGGCATAACAGTTCTGGGAAGTTCAGTATCCACATTTTTGATGAGATGTTTGTTGGAGAAAGATGGTACTCACACCACGATGATCGTGATCAGGAACCCGGCGAGAATGAAGAAGATGCCCGCGTTGTTTAGATGTGGCATAGCCGAGTTGAAGAAGCATACAATCGGGCATGCGATCCACGTAACGATAATATAGGTGACAAAAACGTGCCATGGCTGAGAAACGAAGTCTGGATGCTTCAGGGCATACCTGCAGCTTGTTAGGATGTCCATCAGAGCTTTGCGGACCGGCGCTTCTTACATTTGAACGACTGTATTAGACTGAACACCGCCCCAGTTAGCAAATACCGCCTTCTTCCTGCTTGATCTCACTCACGAAAATGGACGTCATAGACGCAGCACCCAGAATCCACGCAAGGCAGTTCCACCAGCCGGCAAAGAATCCCACAACACGGCCCCATCGCTTTCCGGGAGTGACCGAGGCCCAGTGGTAGACACCAGCGGAAGATGGAATAGCAGAGGCAAGCTCGGCGATGCATGCTGCCACAATCCAGTAGAAGACGGACACGACAAGGAACTCGTAGAGCACACCTGGATAATGCCCGTTAGCCATAGCTTATGCCTCTCGTCAAGAAGCACACGCACCAGGTGGACCACCATTGAAGATGGCCACCAGAATCGACCCTCCGATTGCTGGCCAGACGTTGCCGACAACGAGCCCGACGCCGGCGAGCGACACGAGATTGAATTGTCGCGACAACTCTTGGGCATGGCCCGAGGCGTTGATGAAATTATTGCCCGACTCCGAGGGCTCCGACTCTGTCGCGACCTCTGGGATTTCGTTCTTGTCGGCCATATTAGAGACCAGCGCCAGACGCACGCAGAACGATGAAGAGTCAGTAAGAAGACAGTATAGGCAGCAGGATGGAATTGATGAATGGAAGAGAAATGAAGGAAGTGAGCAGGTCAGACTTGGCTACATCATGGAAGGCGTCCAGAAAAACCCACCCATCCACCAGTGGAAGCGGATTGGTGAGCTGTGGTAGTGGCTTCTCCGCAATGCTTTGGATGAAGTACTTGTACATAATAGAATGCTGGTCGCGCCACCGATGGATTCTTTAGCAGTCGCAGCGGCGGTGGAGCGCTGGACAGGGGAGGGACTCCTGACACGAGCACACTGATTGGACAGTAAAGTCCGCGCTCCACCCGCCAAGCCCAGGAACAACTGCTGTCTCCGGTATGAGCGGCGGAGGCTGCCAAGATATGGTGGGGCTTTTCCGCTCTAGCCGCATCAAATTTTCTTCGCAGACTCCCAGACTTTCCTCCCATGGGCAATCCATGTGTCAACGGAATCACAGTCTGTGACCTTAGCCATCGGACTGTTGCCCATTCAATCGATTACACCGGCCCCTCAATCAGGTGGTGCTGGGATACCATCATTCGTCAGATTGGGGTCCCGCCGGTCTGGCTCACGGGCAGGAGCCACTGGAACGGTCTGGTACGGCCGTCCAGGTCTCCATTCACGGGACTATCGCGAGATCTGGTACCTGATAAAACCTGGCAAGCTACATGCCATGTGGCAGGTGGCGAACACAGGGTTCATGACTGGGTTTAGCTGGAGCTAGTGTCACCAACCACCAGGCGGGCAGGCCATGCTGTTCCATGCTTCATGTTCGCAGAGCTCTTTAAGGCTCTCGGCAGCGTCCATTCCGAAACACTATAACGGTAGGATTCTTCTTAGCCCATACATGTACAGCATCAAGTTGAAATGGAGCGCACGGCGGGAGCACGAATCGTTGGCCACCCCCTATTTCCCATTTCCCACAGTTGCCTCGTGGGGTTCCGCACACCGAATTTCAATGACGCTCCACCTGCTGTCTGAGCTAGAGGCGACGCTGTAACGTCCATTCTGGGACTGATATCTCGTGGGCAGTTCGGCGCTAGAAAATCAGAAGGGCCCAGAAAAGTTACGTTATTCAAACATGATAGGGTTCCACGACGAATCTCCCTTTGCGCAGTGAAATCTCTCCTGCTTCTTCGTCGCCGTCCCCAACGCCGTCGTTCGTCTCTCGAACATTGCTCTGCGGTAGCAGTCTTCTGGAAAGGCAGCAGTCATGTCGACGAATCCCAACCCCGGGTTCAAGCCGGAATCATGGAGTTTATACGGCGTCGGCGCATTCTTCGTCGTCCTGCGACTGTCCGTACCAAGCGCCTGCGATCACCGTGCATGAGAATTACCCCTCTAACGTACTTTCGAACAGGATCGGCAAGATCAAACGGGTGGGCATCAGACACCTCGAAATCGACGACGCCCTCATCGCGTTCGGCTTCGTGGCCTACACCATACTCGTGGTGGCCTTTAACGAAATGCTGGACGGGCCAGGATCCAACTTGATGACACCAGAGGAGGAAGCCGCGCTTACACCGGAGACCAAAGCAGGGCGCATTCGCGGGAGCAAATGGGTCTTTGTGTCTGAGCACGCGGAACTTCTCACAATCTGGAGCATGAAGGCGGGTGAGTTCAAAGGCTATTTCCTTTTTCAGAGGCAGCTATTGTGCACGGGCTCCCATCAGCAGTGCAGCAGACTGACAGGAGACATCTAGCCATGCTGGTTCTGTATGCAAAGTTGATCGACAAGACTCGACAGCGCAGATTGCTCTGGGTGGTCGTGGCATGGGTGGTTTGCGCTTTCGTGGGAGACGAACTCGCCCTCTTCACCATCTGCCGACCCCTGTCGCAGTATTGGGCCGTTCCCGCTCAGAATTGTGAGTATCTGGCTCATTTCTATTCGTTTGCGTTCTATGGCACACCCCACGCTGACCCAGTCACCAAAAAAAGCCCAATGCTACACCTACCAATACTATCAGATCGTCAACGCCGTCTTCAACATCTCCACCGACATCCTGATCATGCTCATGGGTATCCCTCCGGTCCTGTCGGCCCGCCTGTCCCTGCAGCAAAAGCTCATCCTCGGCGTCATCTTCGGGATGGGTGGCTTCGTGATCGTCGCCGCCATCCTGAGGGCGATCTACTGCCTAGTCCCCTCGCTGATCTCCTACGTCTACATGAACTGGTACTTCCGCGAGGCGTCGGTGTCCATCTACGTGACGACCCTGCCGGGCATCTGGGTGTTCCTGAAGGAGATGTTCCCCATCATCCAGAAACTCACGAGCCGGCCCGCAACGAAACCAACCAACTCCCGCACCGTCGAGCACCAGAAGCAGGCGTCTTACTGGAATGAGCCCAGCAGACACCACCGCAGCCAATTCGACGCCAAGGATCTGGACTTTGACCTGGACACGTACCCGATCAGCAAGTCCATGATCACCTCGGCAGAGAGTGACCTGGGCGGCCAAGGCGTCGGCCGCAGCGACAGTGGACAGGGCGATGCCGATTCCACAAACTCGACGCGCTATGATGCCGCACTCCATGAGATAAGGTGCGACAAGACGTTCACTGTCGAGAGCATTCCCCGAGGTCGACCCTGAGCGACGCCCAGAATTGCTGGAGAAGGGGGGAAGTCTCGTACGAGAGAGAGAGATCTCTCATATCTGCGGGTCTGTCCTTCTTGTATGAAGCTGGGACGCTGTGCGACGTTCTTGAACAGTACCATGATCATTTTCATGTTTTGCAGCATCAGCGCCGTGTACGATGTTAGACGCACCAGAGTAGAGGGAGGCTCTTCTGTTTTTGATCATGATAGTCTCGGGACCGGAACCAGGACCAATGTATGCTAGGAATTGAAGAATTGTTAGGAATTGAGTCAGAATCCGTCAAATGAATACTGCCTGGAGGCCGATTCGAGCACATACCCCATTCCCATATGGAGACATGTGTCGCTTGTCCGTTTCCCCAATCTGGGCGGCCTGAATCCACCCCTCTATGATGCCGGCTTGCTTGAAAACTGTCCTTTTGGTTTTGGGGGAAGGATGCAATGGTAACATGGCAGCCTGCTTGATGAGGAGAGCCACCTCCGTCAGCGTGCAGCAAACACTCTCGGGTGTGATATGTCGGACCTTGTACTCCGTCCTCCTTGTAGGGCTGGTGAGGTTGCGTCTCGCGGGCCGAGCTGAGGCTAAGGCTGAGGCTGTGCCGCAGGTTTTAAGGCTGCCTGGCCTCGACCTCGCTCGGTTACTGGTTTAAAGCGCCCGTCATCCTCCTCGACCAGGCCTTGACTCTTCTTGTTTGAGACAAGAGATAGGACTCCTGAACACTTTGTCTTCTAGGCCCTGAGTTATCCTGCAAAGGTGTCCTTTTTTCCCATCTTGCAGCCATGTACGCAGGAACTCCCTCGCGAGCCCGCGGCACAGATTCTTCGCATTGACAGCCTTCCCGGCGGCAGTCCGAGTCAGGATATTGGATAACAAATGAATTCATGTCTCGGTCTTGCAGATCTATTTCCATACAGTAACATCTAGAGCTATGTTTCGGTTCGCAAATGCCATCCCATCTCTTAGGGGAGCGACCAATTCTGCACTCGAGAGCAATGCAAACTCTGTAGATGAGGCAGAGGACCACGTTCCCCCACTAAACACCATCCCTCCCAACAACAACAACCACGACCCGACTCTCATCCAAAGCATGCCTCCTTGGGCAAGAGAGTTGAACGATGCACGATCCAACAGGCACAGCCGAGCCTCGTCGGTGGTCTCCACCCAGTCCAAGTTCACCACTACGACTCTGCAAGAAGATGCGCGCAGCATCGATATCAATGTCGGCGGCCAGTACTTCCGGATCAGTCGGGATGGTTCGCGAATTACAGCTGATGCTCCACCGCCATACACTGGCTGGGCTGACACGATACGCTTCCCAGGAGACCGAGCAAGCGATGTGGTGAGCTTGGATAGTCGCATTGAAGTGGACAGTCAAGATGTCGACGAAGACGATTTGGAGGACGGAGCAGTTACTCCGAGGTCAACATTCACCGCCATCGACCATGATGCTGGTGTGCGAGCCAATATCCTGGATCCGACCGAGCTTGAGATGCCCTCACCGGTAGGACATGATCAGCTCAACAACCGCTCATCCTCGGCCACCCTCATCAGTGACAGAAGGACCACCGGTTCTGCTGGGGGGCTCGACCAAGGCCTGTTGAGTGGAGAGGACCCAGAGATTCTGCCTGGTCCGAACCCAGGCCATCACAGAAGGAGGGTGGTCTCAGAAGATCTCATGCTCGACAGGACGGATCAGTTGCCACGGTCATCACCGTCGAGAAGGACGCCTCGGGGACGCCTCCCTCGACTTATCACGTCTGGCGAGATTTCGCGGCTCAGCCATCGACCTCGATACTCTCACCAGCGCTCCAACAGATCGCGAGGACGTTCACTCCAGATCCGATCTGCTGGCGCAGTTCTGGGTGACATGCCTGATAATGGTGAACCGCGATCTCCTGATTACATAGGGAGGAACGCTCGTGGAAGGTTCCCTTTTCCCATCAGGGCCATCACGACCCAGAATACCAGCGCCCCAAGAGATGGCGACTCCTCCGCCAGAGGGTCGAATCCTCTCGACATGAGCGAGACACCGGAGGAAAGCAATACACCTCTACCCATGGACGACGAGAACGACATCTCCCTCCACTACGCACGAATGATGAGGAAATTGGACTCGACGCATCGCAAGGCCATTCTCTTCAAGGACAAGCAAGTGGCGGAGCTTCGGGAGAAACTGAACGAAAAGGACATTGTGTTGAGACAGCAGCTACGGGCCAAAGATTTCATCATTGATGATCTGAAGAAACGGCTGAGCAATCTCGAGGAGAACGTGGAGGTGATGCTGGAAAAGGCCCGACATCAAGTGGAGGATCTGTGGGAGTCTCGGTGGAAAGATCGTGACTTTCATCTGCGAGAGCGCATGAGACGCATAGAGGAGGAGGCACAGAAGACGATCGAGCGAGTGAGGGTCTGTCAAGGACAGTCCGAACAAGGCCCGAACAGTAATGAGTAGGCGGGCCAGCTGCGATAAAAGACGCCACCAGAGAGGGCGAGAGCTGGATGAATGTAACGAGCTGGACGGGTGAATAGGGTTCCTTTCTACCGGGATCGCGGAGAGGTGACCTGCGACAATTAGTTACCACGAGTAATGAGGTGGAGGATTTTTCATATAGAATTGAGCATATACGGAATGCGGTGCAGTGGTGGACAGTGTAGCTAGGGAACCACAGCACTTGTTTCCGATGTTGGCCGAGTGCGCAGTCTTCGGGCGGGAGGCTGGAAGTCTCGAAGCCTGTGCAGCTGGTGCCTCAGCAGTGCCCCGCCCATTCTTAATTGGCGTTGGTTGGCTCTTTTTGGCGGGCGGTGGGGGGGGTGGCTGCCGAGAGCCTGGAGAGGAAGCAGAGCCTAATACCTGACGCCTGCAAGTCGTGCTGTGCTTGAACGCCCTCGCCCCTCCCCCCGGGGACGCGCCTAGGGGTTGGAGATCGCGGACATGGGCTCGACGCCCGCCAACCAGAATTAGGCATCGTCGCCAAAAACAATCACCAGTGACTTCATTTCCTGCCCCAGTCTATGCTTCTCGCAGCTTCTCACCCCACGCAGTTTCCTCAACAACTTACCATACAACAAAAACCCTTTGGTGCCAAAGCGCCCTCAACAACACCTGGCCTTTTTTCGCCTTCCAAGATTCTTTCCCTGTGGCTATCAGCGTCAATTGTGTAATGGCTCTTCTCCATTGATCCCGTACTCTTATCTGTCCCCTCCATCTTGTCATCTACCTCTCGTCTTGTCCCTCATTTTGACCTCAATTCACACATTGTCCTCGGATTCCCGACCAGCCTGCATTTCCGTACATGGGCTGACTCGTGTCTCCCTGGTCCGACGGTTTCTGTCGTTGAGTCTTATCGAGGCAACCTTTCTTCATTCCCTTCCGTCTGCTCCCTCAAATATCCACACGGATAGCGGAAAGCCATGCCGTCTCAGGCAGGATCATCCAAGGAGGCCGTGTCCAAGGCTGCCCGGCGTGGGCGAGGCAAGAAGAAGGGAAACCAGCTGCAAATACCGTGGCTTTATGACATAGTCCTATGGGCTCTCTCTGTCCTGATAGATCTCTTCTTTCGAGAGGTCCATCCCCGGGGAGCCTGGAAGGTCCCCAAAACAGGTCCTGTCATTCTCGTGGCGGCACCACACGCCAATCAGGTACGCACATGACGGTATGCCCTGCCCGAGACAACGCTAACACCCATAGTTCGTCGATTCCCTGATTCTGATGAGGATTCTCAAGCACGAGGCCAAGAGAAGGATTTCATATCTGGTTGCTGAGAAGTCGACGAAACGCAAGTTTATTGGGACCCTGTCAACTGCGATAGGAGCGATCCCCGTAGGCCGAGCCTTGGACAAAGTCAAGCCCGCACAGGGCAAGATATTCCTCCCGGACCAGGACAATGACCCTACCTTGATTCAAGGCGTGGGCACTGATTTCACGAATGGCGATTTCGAGGTTGGCGGACTGATTGTCCTGCCGAAAGTGAGAGGCCAGACCCCAAGCACAGAAATCGCCGAGATCATCTCCCCTACAGAACTTCGCCTCAAAAAGCCCTTCAGGACGCCAGAGGCGTTGGAGTCCTTAACCGGGAATGGCACCGTTGGCCGCGACACAAACGACCAGCAGATTGAATCCCGCGGCTGCTCGTTCAAGGTTGCCCCGTATGTGGACCAAACCAAAGTCTACAATGCAGTCTTTGACGAGCTCGACGCGGGTGGCTGCATTGGCATTTTCCCGGAAGGTGGGAGCCATGACCGACCCGACCTTCTCCCTCTGAAAGCAGGCGTGGCCATCATGGCTCTAGGAGCCGAAGCCCGACATCCCGGATGCGGTGTCAAGATTATCCCAATTGGCATGAACTATTTCCACGCGCATAAATTCCGATCGAGGGCCGTCATCGAGTTTGGTCATCCCATCGAAGTTCACCCTGACCAAGTTGAAGCCTACAAGGCTGGTGACCGGAGGAACGCCGTCGGCTCATTGCTAGAGACAGTCTTCCAGGGCTTAGTGGCTGTGACGCAATCTAGTCCGGACTACGACACCTTGATGCTCGTGCAAGCGGCTCGCCGGTTGTACAATCCCCTGGGGAAGAAATTGCCTCTGCCGCTGGTGGTGGAGTTGAACCGGCGCCTGGTCAAAGGATACACGACGTACAAGGATGACCCACGCGTTGTTGAACTGAAGAAAGATGTACTCGAGTACAATCGCCAACTTCGAGCACTTGGTGTTCGGGACCATCAAGTGGAATGGGGCAACCCAGCTAAACATCCATGGTGGCACATTCTGGGGACGCTGATCTATCGACTGGGAGAGCTCTTCTTCCTGGGCATTGGCACCCTTCCCGGGCTGGCCATGTTTTGGCCTGTCTTTGTTACCACCAAAGTCATATCCTATCAAAAGTCCAAGGAAGCTCTTGCGGCATCGACGGTGAAACTGCAAGGTCGAGATGTCATCACCACCTGGAAATTGCTTGTGGCCATGGCGTTTGCTCCCGCACTCTACGCCTACTACACGGTGATTGTGTCCATATGGCTAGTTTACAACCGGCGAGACGGATACTATACCCACAAGGTTCCATGGTGGATGGTGGCCCGGACTTATGTGCCAGACTTTGTTCCGGTGTGGCTTTTTGCCATCCTCTTCTTGATCTTGTGTATCCTCATCACGTTTGCCGCCCTGAGGATTGGCGAAATAGGGATGGATGTGGTCAAGTCATTACCGCCACTGTTTGTCGCGCTCAATCCACGTTCCTCCAGCCGATTTGCGAAGCTGCAACGGCGCCGCAAGGCCTTGTCCGAGAAGGTGACCAAGGTGATCAATGAATTGGGACCCGAGGTTTTCCCCGACTTTGACGCGGCGCGAATTGTGCCGGATGCGTATAGAGAGGGAGCGTACCAGTCCAAGTACAAGAAGATGCCAGAGGAGCCCAGAATCGATGCGACCGAGCCCACAACGCCCACTTCGGGGACTTTCGAAGAGCGGACCGCCGAGTCGCCCGGTTCGAGATCGATGTTACCATTTGGGTTTCTGCCCTCGAACGAAGCTTTTCACAATATTGGGGGATTTGGCTTCTTTGCGTCGCGACCTACAACGCCCAAGAGCCGGAGCAGGAGCAGCTCTGCTGGCGGAGCACTGGCCTCGGCCACGAGCTTGAAATTCACCTCGCTGGATCATGATGAAGTTAGCAAGCGAATCCGTGGTGCCATGCGGGAAAGAGGACGAAAGCGTGAAAGCGAAGGGGCAGAAACCGGGACGGAAAGCAGCTGGGACATGGCTGATGATGAACGAATGACTCCGACGACCGAGGATGAGGAACCCAAGAAGGACCGGTAGTGATGCGGGTGAAGGAACGATCATCACGAAGCAAATGACAGGCACGAAAGACGAGTGATTGGCGTCGACTGGGTCTTTGACATTGTGCATTGGACTATTACTTCGATACCCTTTTGGTAGATGTATAGGAAATGAGTTAGCATGTTGTGAGAAATACAACCTACGTATGTGACTACCCGATCTGGACCTGAGTAAAGCATATTCTGGCTCGAAACAAGATTTGATGGCTGAGAAGCGAGGCGATCGACGTGGGGGAAGATGCTGTGGTTGAAGGGCACGAAGGGGCGAGATGGAGACGCCACCAGACGCTTCGAGCGCCTTGTTTGCATCATGGCCCGGTCACCAACCAAAACACCTGCGATCGCCCGCCGCAAACCTGCATGAGCACCTCCTCGACACCGCCAGGCACACTCTTCTCTTGTCCCTCACCCGTGCTATCCATATTGTTGTCCCTTTGCATTTTCTTGTTACGCATCGCCAGTATATAGCTTGATGGACCATGCTCCCACCGTCCACGTTCCATCAACATTCCTTTTGAGTCACCCGAAGCCTGCAGTTTCCGCTTTGCGACATTCGACCGCCACATGCCACGCCGAGCCTAGGCCGTGTCCTACGAGACCTCGATTGTCGGCCGCTCCTATTAGTAGAAGGACTAGATGAGTTGTTGCTGTTGCTAGTGTTGCGACTCGCATTGCTCCATCGCCGGGTCCTCGTCTGCAACTAACATACAACCTGATGGTTGCCTCTGAATAATACCCGATATACTCCTCTCAGCCTGATCACCGTCTATCCTATATATCCTTCGGCCTGAAACATCTCTGATCACCCCGCCTCTCCCATTGATCATCGCCTGCGATGGCTCCCTTCCGTCTCGACGAAGGCTTCTCGGAGGATGCGTCGAGTCAAGATGATCACGGGCGCATGTCGGCTGCCACAGCTTCCCGCTTTCAAGAATGGGTCATGGCACAAAATGAACTGGCACGTGCCGAGATTGCATACGAAGTCTTGCGAACACTACGCACCTCAAACATCGCGGCTGTGGTCGAGAGGCTGACGCCGCTCCTGCATATCGACCCGCTGGAGAAACTACCTCCAGAGATCACCTCACAGATATTCTCCTACCTGGACGCTGAGACCTTGATGATTGCTTCTCTCGCATCAAAGCTATGGAGGGCACGTATCATGGACACGATGTTGTGGCAAGACCTGTACAAGAAGGAGGGATGGGGTCTGGACACCAAGGAGGTCAGACAATTTGAGAGCGCCCTCGCGCGACACGAGTTGAAAAAGTCAAGATCGCCGCTCTCGGGACAGCCTCAGCTTAAGAAACGAGCAACATCTGACTGGTTGGAGTCAAGAGGGCGTAAGGTTTCTGCGGACGTCTCTCAGTGGCGAGAGCAGCATGGAGTGATAGAGGCCGACACCGACATGCAATCCGAGTCGACTGATGACCAGGAAATGCAAGATGCTCCCACCAGCATTCATAACTCTCCCCAGCGTCCAAACAAGAGACAAAGTGCAGATTCGGGCGACGAGATGGACTGTTTGTCAGATGCAATCCCCGGAGATGATGCTCGTTCAGGGAGCAGAGGCGTCAGCTCCCTCGACCCTCCGATCAAGACACGACTCGTCACCTGTGATGGTAATGGCGAGGAAAAACTCAACTGGGTTCATCTTTACAAGCAGCGCCAGAAGCTTGAACAGAACTGGACCAAGGGTCGCTATACTCCCTTCCAGCTTCCTCATCCTTCATATCCGAACGAAGCGCATACCGAGTGTGTCTACACTGTCCAGTTCTATGGGAAATGGCTGGTAAGTGGCAGTCGAGACAAGACATTACGAGTTTGGGATCTTGAGACCCGTCGGTTAAGAGGGAAGCCTCTGTCTGGTCACTCTCAATCAGTTCTATGTCTCCAGTTCGACCCGACTGAGAAAGAAGATGTCATCATTTCCGGCAGTAGTGACGCTAGTGTCATCATCTGGCGATTCTCAACAGGCCAGAAGATCCACGAAATCCCCTCCGCGCATGAAGAGTCCGTTCTAAACCTGAGATTCGACCAACGTTATCTGGTCACCTGTTCGAAAGATCGACGCATTAAAATCTGGAACCGAAAAACGTTGACCGCTACGGATAATGACTATCCGGAGATCAAACGCGAGAGTCAAGCACGGGCGCCGTCATACATCGTCAATACCGCGGAAATGGAGCCCTCTCTCTTAGAAGCCAGACTCGCCAACGGCCAGATCCGAGCTCTCAAACCATACATGCTTCTGCTGACCCTCGAAGGACACAGTGCCGCCGTCAACGCCATTCAGATCAACGGCGATCTCATTGTGTCTGCCTCGGGTGATAGACTCATCAAAGTCTGGAATGCCAAGGATGGCAGGCTGCTCCGAACGCTTCAGGGACATCAAAAGGGCATCGCTTGCGTGCAATTTGACAGCAAGCGAATCGTCAGTGGGAGTAGTGACAACACCGTGAGGATATATGACCCTTTTACCAGCGCCGAAGTGGCAGAGCTTAAGGGGCACACGAACCTTGTGCGCACTATACAGGCTGGGTTTGGTGATTTGCCTGGAAGTGATGAGGAGGACCCGGCCAAAGCAAGAGCGGCCGAGAGGAAATACCTCGAAGATCTTATGCAGGGAAATATTGTCGAGGACAGAGGGCACAGTCGACGCGTAAGGAGTGGTACGGAGGGAACGTCTCGACTCGCACTGGGTTCTAGATTACCACCAGGCGGAGGTGGCAGCAAATGGGGCCGGATTGTCTCGGGCTCATATGACGAGACCATCATCATATGGCGCAAAAACGCGTCGGGAGATTGGGTTATTGGACAGGTGCTGCGTCAAGAGTCGCCGTCTCAGAACCAGGACAATCACTCTCGGCCACGACACGCTGGTGTACAGCAGCCTCCGCCATTGGTAATGCATCCTCCTCTCAACTTGCCTGCGATGCCCCCTCCGCCGCCTTCTGCTCTCCTGATGAATCACCGACTACCGCCTATTGTCAACCCCAATGCTGCTCGCGAAGTTGTAACCGAAGCCATGAGCATAGGGAGGGTGCTAAATGGGTCTGCCGGCCCTGGAGCTCCGCAGAACGGTCTGAATCTCACTAGCAGCTTCAGCTCCAGCTCTTCGATCATCGGAAGCAGTGCACAAGCTCTCATACAGGCTACTGCGACGCACGCCCAGGCGGCTGTCTCTCAGATTGTGCAGAATGCCATCACCCAAGCACGGTCACAGCAAACACAGAATCAGCAGTCATCGAATGCTAATGCTGGAGCGTCAACGAGTGGTCAACACCAAACGCAGCAGCAGCCGCAGCAGCCGCAGCAGCAACAGCAACAGCAACAACAGAACCCTCTTCCACATCATCCTGCTCCTCTTCACCCTCAACCAGGAACATCTCCCGCAGTTGCGGCAGCGCAACAACAATTAGCTCAACAACAAGCACAGCAACAGCCGCTCCAGCCTCAAGCTCCAGCCAACAACCAACTTGCCGCTGGCAATGCAGATGCGAATGCCACGAACGGGGCGAACCAATCATCGGTCTCCCGCGTGTTCAAACTGCAATTCGACGCCCGTCAAATCGTGTGCTGCTCACAAGACAGCCGGATTGTGGGGTGGGACTTTGCCAACGACGACCCCGAGATCATTGAGGCCTGTAGGTTCTTCGTCGGGCCGTGAGCGACCACAGACGACGGAGAAAGGGAGATGGACGGCTTGCTCTGGCATAGTCGACATCTTGGCAATATCGACAGCAGAGTATGCCTGGTGATACGATGCCGTCCACGAGGAAGAGAAGGAGCCATACAAAGGCAGAGAGCCTCTATATTTGGTGCCCCTCTCATTTGAGTGCGCTTTGGGGGGGGGGGGGGGGTTCATACTGCAGGGCCCTGGAACAAAGCATGGCACGGACCAAAAGGGGTCTCGAATTGGAGTCGTGGATTGGGAAACAGCCGTATAGCAAGCCAGGCTCGTTCAGCATATTCATATTCATGTACTGTGTCCTCACACGGACCATGTACGACTCGGTCCGCATCGAACGGACATCGATTATAGTCATTCATGATTCCCCCTTTTCTTTAAGAGGTTACCTTTTGTTCCAAGTCCTTTAATGATGGGTATCTCTATCTCTTTTATTTCTCTAGCTTGTATTCTATAACACGGTAGGGTGTGGTGTGGTATGGTATGGTATGGTATCTTTTTGTTGTGTGCGGTTCTATTTCTACTCGTCCGCTTTGAAACGCACGTACATACATGCATACAGCCATAGGCGTCTCGCCCGGGTGGGAGATGAAGCTGATGAGGACGACGACGGTGGTGGTGGTGGTGGTGGTGTGACACCGAATGCAACTTTCCTCCAGCATCAGCCGTCGAGGCTCGAGCGATTTGTTGAGGGGGGATTGCGGCCCCGAGTCCAGAACAGGGGGTCCGTGTGCAACAAGTACATCTAATTCTGGTTCCCATTGCCATGTCCGTCTCCAGCTTCGGAGTGGGCGCGTGGAAAGCGGGTTGGGTGTGCACACAGACTGGCTGATTCCTGGTTTTCACGCCTCTCTTCTTCTGACGCTCCGCCCGCCTTGCTCCCACTTGGTGTGTGCAGGGGCCTTATCAGCCAACACCACTCCGATCAGGAAGCGTGCATGTGGACCAGATCCGCAGCCTTCCTCGCCTTACTGGTGCTGGAAGACTTCCCTCTCCTCTTCTCTTCCTCTCGGGCCTCGGTTTCCCGAGCGTCCCGCTCCTCGCGCCGTCTGCGCCACTGCCACTCCCACAGCACGGGGAGGAATGACCACAGGTCGAACTCGGGCCAGAGCACGTCCAGAAACACAATCTGCGTCGACTCGTGACATTGCCAGAGCATGAAGTCGCTCAGCCGCGACACGCCCGAGGTGCGGATGAGGAGGTCAATGGGCGGGCAGCTGGCCGTGTATGTATGGGATGTGAGGGTGGCCGGCGTGATCAGTTCGGGCGAAGGGTATGTGGGGGTCTGCTGTGCAGGCTTTTGTGGTGAGGTTAGTGGTTGCAGCGGTGGTGAGGGAGACGTGAGCCCGTCGTCGTGATGCAGGGTTGTTGAGGTCGAGACGGATGAGGCGTCGTGGTCGCGGTCAGACGGGTCGGGGGAGTAAGACGACAGGCTCGTTGTGCTCGACGACGGCGACTGCATGTCCACTCCAGGTGGTGATAGAAATGTTCTCGACGCGGTGGGATTTGGTGCTGTTTGTTGGGACAACTGTTCGGACCATATCGTACTGGCGATCCTCTCCTCCGTGAATGGGCTTCTTCTCCCCTTGCCATTGATGTCTTCTGGTAGCGGCGTGGTCCACTCCTCCACCGTGCTCCGAATGGCACTCGTGATTTCTTCCCTCGAGGTGTATGGAAAACACACGTTCAGGACACAGTTCCCTTCATTTCTGCTCGTCATTTCCACCGCTTTATCCACCGCCTCCAGGACATCCGGCTTGATCAGTTCCCGTTGGCCTAATACGCGTATTCTCGCACCGTAGCGGTCCAACAGTTCGCCGTGTTGGACGAGCTGTTTGAGCTTGATTTTGGCCATGGACATAAGAGCGTCAACCTCGTACTTGCTGCGCTTGAAGTTCTCGATGCTGAAGGCATATATCGTCACGGTGTGCACGCCGGATTTGTAGCATACTTCCAGTATCTATCATCGTAGCATTGTCAGCTCGATCCATCACCCACAAGAGACCCAACTCATATGCGGAAAGGCAGCTGAGCCCACACCATCGGCTATCATACCTTTGCCAGTGCTTCGAAGCCCAGATTATGCCCCTCGACAGTCTCAATCCTGTTGTTCTTTGCAAATCGTCGATTTCCGTCCATGACAAACGCAACATGTCGAGGCACAGGGCCCTGGCGGAGAGCGCCGATTAAGAGCTCGCGCAGTTGGTTGAGGGCCCATTCTGCAGGCGGTGAGGAGAGGAGCCATTGGCGAAGGTTGGATATATGACGGTGTGGCATGGCGGCAATGTCAGAGAACTGGTGAGCGTTCTGAATACGGAGGAAGGGAGTGAATCCTCGACGAGGCGGAGGTGGTTTCAACTCATGGACGCTGCAGGTTTCGGGGAATTGCTTCGGCGTTGAATGAGGGCTGGGTGCGGTCACCAGCGATGGGGACACAGTATGCAAATTCGAAGTACAGAGTTAGGCAGCCGAGGAGTTTTCGAGAAGAGTGCGAGGCATTCCTTGGACACAAAAAGGAAGGTTGCTTCGCCTACAAGCTTCTGTTGAGGTGTTGCGTGGCTTGGAGTGTCGACAAGTTGGTAGAGTTGCGCCAGCTGCGGGCCTTATTGGCGGATTGTCACTTGTATGGACACCAACGAGATGCTGCTGTGCGTACCCCGTTCATGTACCCGTTATGGCTGAGTACTTGGACTTTTTTGGGGGGGGGGGGTTCCGGATTAACTATATTCCGTCACAGACAATGTCATTGCCACTGTGCTGCTTCTTGCCCGCGGGTTCAACGGAGCCGTCTATTCCAGAGCGAGTTATTTTGCGATTTCACGAAAGCCACTGTATTTATTATTCTTGGGGCATTCTTTGCCTTTCTTATTTGAAACCCGCCGACCAGGAATATACTCCTTTGTGCTCGCCAGATGACGCGCCGAAAATGCACATTGTCCTCGATATCCATGCCAAAATGATCTCGGTTCTTGATCTTGACACCATATCCAAGGTGAAGAAAGATGACAACTACCATGTCGTCCTCCTTCTCCGGGTTGGCTCTACGTCGGCGAGTCACCGAAATATGATTGGCCTGCACTTCGACAATTGGCTGAGCCAGTTGGCATTGCCTTACTGGCTGTTCAATTCACCATAGGAAACCGTATTTCAGCCTTACATAGGCATTGTGCTGACCCTGCGTTGAATTCTCAATCAAGGGCATCTCCAACACAATATCGGCTCTCTATAATGCAGGACGGGAAGACCCTCCGGACGGCCAAACCCAACAGCTCTATATGGAAAGGTCTCTCAGAAGATGCTTTTCGTCGTACAGCCATTGCCCTTTCCCGAGCCACGAACGGCGTCCCGGTCGACCCAAAAGACTGGTGGTCCACTACGACTGACAGAGACAGCCTACCTTCTCCGACCACATGTCGCTTGCTCTCTTTCCACACGGAGCAAAGAGTAGCTGATGATTTCGCATTCATATCAGCTGCTCAAGAAGGAGCGGAGAGCGTAGCGGCGGTATGCATTGAGGAGATTCGTGAGCCCCCGGGACTTGTCTTTCGTCTCGCTGCAAATGAAGGGATACGCACAGAGATTAGGACTGCCGTGGAACAAATCTGCGATTCTCTGATGTCTTGTGCGTCGACTGGTAGGCACATCTTACTTTTGTGAGCCTGGTTGTTGTGCTCTTCTCATTGCTCAAAAGATACCTCGCTGGCAGACTGTATCTCGACAACCAGAAGATTAGTACTCGAACTCTGCCATGTGCGTATCGTCTCGCGGATACGACTGTTTCTTGGGCATCATCCTTCTCGCTATCATGGGGGTGCCATAACGGCCAGTCCAGAAGTCAAGAACACTCTGAGCCGCATGCGAACCACGGCGTCAACGCCAGTTGCCGTAGCTTTAGTCAACCGGATATCCAAGCTGAAAGCAAAATTCGAAAATATCCTACGCTTAGACAGCCTTCATATAGCCCATGAGCTAGAGGAGTGTGTTTACGAGTGCTTTTGTATCACCACGTCCGATGGCCGTATGCCATTTCGGACCACTTTACAAGAGGCCGGATTCGATTCTCAGAAGTGGTTTAACAATAAATTCATTATGCAAATCGACAAGGTCGGAGCGTATCACAGAATTCCCGAGACTCTAGCAAGAGAGGCTCGTAGAAGAAAGACAAGACCACTCTTCTCGAGCATTAGGCTCGAATATATCAATCCATACCGACCAGTACAGAGCGCGATATCACTTTCGGGGAAGAAGGTTAACTGCCATGTGCATGCAGAAGTACAGATGGTCATTCACTACATTCTCGAACCGGCGTCAAACACGCCTCGAATTATCGGGACAAGCAAAGCAGCGTGTTTTCTTTGCCATCTATTCATTACCGAGCACAAGATGTTTGGCGTGTCAGCATGGCATGGGCGTCTGTTCGACCAGTGGACTATTCCCGACCTTGCGGAGTATAGCTCCGCGAATATCACCACATTGAGAGCAACAATACAAGGAATGCACCACAAATGCGCCCAACTTATCTCGACAAGCCACCCGCGGCGGCCTTACCCTCTGACTAGCAGACACAATCTGCGGGATCTTCCCAATTTCTCACCCGCATCAACGATCCCAAGCATGAGATTTGACCAGGCACCAAGCCTGAGCAGGGCCGTTTCCACGGTCGCAGAGGGACATCCGGTCAGCGCTCCTTCCGTCCATGCATCCGGATCACCAGCTTCGTCAGTTCTTCGTGAACCAGACGTTAGCGAACGGCTATCAGCTGCCGACAGTCCGGAAACACCAGAACCGTCGAATCATGCACTTGAGTCAGACGTCGTTGTTGAAAGTAACAATGCTGGAGCTCCGGTGCCCGAAACCCACGATCTCAGTGGCGGGCGCCAAGGGGTCAGCTCAAGTACATTAGTTTCCTCCACAGGGGTTTTCCACCTTCGTCCCGGCAGGCCTCGAGTTATCGAATTTCCGCATGTTAATATCCTTGCCGAGATCGAGTCACCTGCGGTGGGGGTTCTCACCTTGAAAGCAGACAACGAAATGAATATACATTCCGGAAGTCGGGTTATCAATCTGGAAGACCTCAGAGAAGGGGATGAGGCCAGCTTCGAAAAGCGAGATTCTGAGTCTTCCATTGTGCTCCGGTTCCAGAAAGGCGGCGTGAGTGCGTGTTGTCTGGCCCTGGAGTGGGTTTAAGCAATAATTTTGCCAATGGTACTGCACAGAGGGATCAAAAGGCAGCAGCGCTGGTCCTTGCATCTGAACTTGATCAGGCCGTGAATAATTCGGCCTTCTTTCTCGGGGTTTGCGCCCTCCGGTGCAGCACCGCACAATGACCGCTTCCTGATCACCCGTAGGCACAATCTGAGCAAGCAAATCATTGTAAAGAGAGCCGTAATGAGTCAGTCGGCGTGTTCTGTAGAATGAGGTGTAGAATGGCGGAGGCGGAAGCAGTGGAGTGGGAAGGCTTGGCGCGAGGCATAGACGTCACGTGCGTATTATCACCTGCTCGCTGGGTGGCGAGGAATGGGGCAAGCCGGAAGCTGCAGCGGGCGCTGCTTCTCATCATCTCTCTGCGCTTCCATTTCGCCCATCACCATCACCGCCCGCCAGCCTGCCTGCCAAACATCCCTCTCTCTCAAGAGCCAAGGCGTGGCAAGTCAAGATATTCCTTTGATTGTCTCTTTCTTTTGAGTTGGTTCTTTTTCTTCATACTGCTTGTCTTATTGAGAGTCTCTTTTCCACGTTTCATCAGCGGCCTGTTGGCGCCGCTCAATCCCGACTATGGCCCTACAGGCTCCCCTCTCTCAGTTGCCTGTGAGTATATCTCTCGTGATACAGAATCGTCGGTCGCTGACTACTTTGACGCTGCAGAGCCTGTCTGCCATTGCGCCAGATGTCTTCACAACACTCCCTTCGCTCTTTACTTCGCCTCTCCAAACCCTCCGACGTTATCGCCTGGCGCGGCTGCGAACTGAAGGTGATGCATCCGGTTCGCGGCAGATACACTCGAGGAGCCAGATAGCAGGGCAGTCAACGGTACACAACAACGTCTTCCGAACTGCGAGTCCTTCTAACGCTCTACAGCCGTCGTCGAGCGTTGCTCTCCCAGAATTCCTCGCCTCCCTTCCGCCGAACAGTTTCCGACCGCAATCTCTCAACATAAATTCTCGCCGAACACTACCCTGGATGTCTAGAACCATCTCCTCAACAGTTACCTCTCGCCTGAATCCGATATCAATGCTGCGACGAGATTTGTCGACGAGTATTGCCAATGCCTCGACAAGGGTAGTCCGCGGAAAGAGTACAATAAGAGTGCCTTCGGCGCAGCCTTCAATGAATTCTTTGGTGTTTGGTCCTCCTCGCCGAGGGAATAACTCAAGCTCGAGTAAGCAATACCGACAATTCTCGACGACTTCCCCACTCGCCAACCAAAACATGCTGGCCCATGCCGAACGCACCGCAAACAACAACCCTACCAGTGCCACCGCCCAGAACGCTTTCTATTCCGCCCTCTTACGCGCAAACATGCCCAAGCTCGTTATCGAAAGATATCAGTCAGGTCGATATGCCACCAATCCAGCAGCTGATGCGGCCTACCTCAAGGCTCTGCAGATGACCGGTTCGGTTCCTGCTCCAGGTACACCCGGCTCAAATGTCGCCGGTTCACAGAGTAATGGACTGAGTGCCGACAAATTACGAGCAGTAGGCCAGGCTGTTGCTGGACAGAACTATGGTGGGCAAGTGATTATGCCTAGCAACAAATCTGGTACAGGGGCAAAGGAAGCGCCGCTTTATGTGGTGGTGGAAGAGTCCTGGGGTGCAACCATCCTGAAATGGGTCCGAACGTTCCTCTGGGTTGGCTTGTCTGGCTATTTCCTCCTGGTGGTCCTGACCATGGTCGTGGAAATGACTGGGAGTTTCCGGACGAGAGTCGGCCAAAACAACGAGGTACAGCCCCAGCATCAGACCGTCCGCTTCAGCGACGTGCATGGCTGCGATGAGGCTAAAGAGGAACTGCAAGAGCTGGTTGAATTCCTGAAGAATCCGGAAAAGTTCAACCAACTAGGAGGCAAGCCTCCCAAGGGCGTTCTCTTGGTGGGCCCGCCTGGTACTGGCAAAACTATGCTTGCTCGCGCCGTGGCTGGTGAGGCTGGCGTACCCGTTTTTTACATGTCCGGCTCGGAGTTCGATGAACTGTACGTCGGTGTCGGCGCGAAACGTGTTCGTGACCTCTTCACCCAAGCGCGGAACAAGGCCCCATCGATCATCTTCATTGACGAACTCGACGCAGTTGGCGGCAAAAGGAACGCACGTGATCCTGCCTATGCGAAACAGACACTCAATCAGCTCTTGACCGAGCTGGATGGGTTTAGTCCGAGCACCGGTGTTATTCTCATCGCTGCGACCAACTATCCCGAGTCTCTGGACAAGGCGCTCATCCGGCCAGGACGATTCGATCGGCATGTCAACGTGCCCTTACCCGATGTGCGCGGCCGAATCCAGATCCTGAAGCATCACATGAGGAATATGCCCATCGCCGCCGACGTGGACGCCACCAACCTCGCACGTGCTACAAGTGGTATGTCTGGCGCCGACCTCGAGAATCTTTGCAACCAAGCTGCAGTCCATGCTTCACGGCTGAAGTACAAGAAAATCACTGGTATGAACTTTGAGTGGGCCAAAGACAAGATCATGATGGGGGCTGAGGCCAAATCTCGCATGATCCGAGAAAAGGACAAGATCCAAACTGCGTACCACGAGGCAGGTCACACTTTGGTCAACCTGTTCACTCCCGCCAGCAACCAGTTGTACAAGGTGACCATCATCCCACGTGGCCAAGCACTTGGCGTCACTCACTTCCTGCCTGAAATGGACGAGGTGAGCAGAGGCTACGATCAGTTTATCGCTTCGATCGATGTTTCAATGGGTGGACGAGCGGCTGAGGAATTGATATATGGTCCCCACAAGGTGACAAGCGGTATTTCGCACGATGTGCATCAGGCAACTCGAACCGCGTTTTACCTTGTCACCCAGTGCGGGTACTCCGCCAAATTGGGAAATGTCGATCTTGCTTCCGACTACGACAAACTTTCGAGCGAGACCAAGCAGGAAATCGAACACGAGGTGCGACAGATTGTGGAAGGCGGCCGAGAACGGGCCGACCGAATTGTCAAGGAGAAGCGGAAGGAACTCGAAGCCTTGAAGGATGCGCTCCTGGAATACGAAACCCTGGACCGCGAAGAGATCATGAAGATCCTACGTGGGGAGAAATTGAAAAAGATCGAGGTTGAGCTTCGTGAGGATGACGACACGGACAATGGGGATAATGGACGAGGAAACAAGTCACAGCCCAAGAAGGATAAGGAAGTCGGCTCCAAAGGCAGCTTGGGGATCAAGCTTCCCGACGTGCTGCTTCCGCCCGGAACCGGTGGAAGAGGAGGAGAGAAAGAAGGAGTGTCGCGGGTCAGTGATAGATGACATTGATGGTGGCTAATCAAGCCTTCCTTCGTCTTCTTTTCGTGGATTTATTTAGCGGGTAAAATGACTCTCGTATCGTGGAATTGAAAAGGATTATCCTCTACAGTATGAACCATTATTTGATATACAACCTGCAGGTCAGACATGTGGACGACTGAAGTCGCAAGTTCCAGGAAGAGGTGACTGTGCTTCCGGCATGGCCCAGTCTATATCCATTCCTGGCAGATGGAGCCACAACACTGGGCAGTCCCCTTGCTTCTTGATTTCCCTAAGTAACAGATCTCTCAAGACTTGGGTCGTATATAGTAGGTTCACGGCGCATATAAATTACTACGTGCTCCCTTAGTACTTCGGGAAAAGGCGAGGCGTATTATGCTAGTGATACTAATACCCATTTGGTATGCATGTGCATGTTAAGAAGGTCGACACAGTTCGGCCTTTTGTCTGACGGAAGCAAATAATATGAGCCGCTGATGTAAAAGCTTGGTCTGACGGAACTGTTGTAGGGGTCTCGCGCACTCAATCTTTCGATCCTGGAACTTCAATCGTATTTTCTTCTTGGTAAACCCCCCTCGGACTTTCTTTTCAATGATTCTGAGACTATAGCTCTGTCGCTACTGCAATTTCAAACAACCCGCTCGATGGTGCCTGATACACTTGATGCCCTGTCACCGTAAACTCCGGCTGTAAATGCAAGATATCTACAGATTCCCGTCTCTCACCCAGTCTTCGGCAGTCTTGGAGAGCCCAGCGGCGATACGAAGACCGGGCTTTGAGTGTCTGAGCGTGACGTGACGCTCGACAGCACTGGTGACCTCCTCTCTGTGCCTGCGGTAGCAACCTGCACAGGTGTACCCGGCGGCGAGCCGGGCGTTGCTTCGGTAGGTGTGCTCACAGAGCCGGCTGACGAAAACACCGGGTGATGCTCGTGGATGAATGTGCTTCCCGGCAGCTCCTGCGGGACCGACGGCGCTTGCTTCTGGACGGCCGCCAGGCCTCCTTTGTTCTGATCATATGCTGGCGGCGACGAAGTGGGGAAGATGGGCCACCCGTTGGCGATTCCAACGGCGCCCGGAGATCCTGCTCGGGCCTCTGGACTGTCCAGCTCGTGGGCGGTCGGCGCCCTCGACATAGACATCTGCGAGAGGACAGGCTCTTCGGGCGGGAATGTCGTCGTGCGGTTCGCCTCTGCGGCCCGTCTGGCCTTGCGCCTTCTCCTGACCCAGAAGAATGTCGTTATGCATACTATACAAATTACGACCCAGATGGAAACAGGAATGGCAATCTTCGCTCCCGGCGGGAACTTGCTTTTCGCCTGTTGTTGTGCCACGAGCGAATACTTCTGCGAGAAGACGTGGTCGGTGATGAGGGTCAGACCGGCCACAGTCGGTGTGGATGCCGGGACAAATGTGGTTGCAGGCACCGAGTAGCACGGGGTATCCTGTCCCACGGCGGTATAATAAATCTGATATCCACTAACAATCATTAGCCTCAAAAACTCGGCGCGTGCGGGAAGGAGAGTACCAACAGTGGACAACAGGCACTCGCGGTTGTAAAATAGTCCTGGGGGCATCTTGTGATGACTGCATTGAGTCCGTACTCAAAGGGGCAGCAATCTGGCCTGTCTTCAGAACAACCGACATTGGGATACTCGGTCACCCTTCCAGCAGCGTCTGTTATGATTCCGAAGTACGGCACCGTACAGCTACCGGTCATCAGGGGTGCTCCGACAAAAGTTGTTGCTGTTATTGGCTTCCCTGTCGTCGGTTCCGCTGTTTCAGATACGAGGTCGCCCGAGATTGTTGTGAGGCTCGGATTGCTCGACGAAGAAGACGTTGATGCCGGTGGAGCCGACGGAGCTGCTGAGGGTTGCGTGAGACTCATGCTGGCCAGGGCACTCGATAGCCCTGCTGGCGAACACCCCACGAAATCAGGGGCAGTCTCGTTGACAGCAGCGCATTCCTGCTTGTTGAACTGAATCGCAACTATGAGAGAGGTCAGAAGCTGAATCCTTTCCGATGCATCAACTCCCACGTACCTGCTTGCTCGTCAGAGTTGCAGTCGGTATATAGGCAGCAAGACAATGCGCTGACATAGGCCGAACTCGAGCAAAGGCAGGCGATATCGATTACCGAACATGATTTCTGGGCAGAGGTCGAATTCGAGAGGCATCCTTGCTATTCTGGGGGTCAACAGTCATCTCTCGCGGCCTGCGGGCTTCAGCCAACTTACTGCGCATTGAGGGATGTCCTGTACACTAATGGCATGCACAAGCCGCAGACAAAGGACGTGGAGGAAAACCGTGACGAGCTTCATGGCGAACACGCTCAAGTCTCAGAGAGGGAGGGAAAGGACGACGACGCCGTACCTGCACCATGCAGTCGTTGAACTGGCTCTGCGAAAAGCTCCAAGACCTGGTTTTGATCGATGGAAGAAGTCGAGCACCACCTGATGGCGTCGACTCTTCTGTTTCCGGCCGGGATTTCAAACAAAAGAAACATTCCTTCGGTAGCCGTGGTGACATTCTTTGAACAATGGGCGGAGTGTCGGTGCTTCCTGGCCCAATGCGTAATGGGCTCCAGGCTGGAATGTTGGCGCACATTCCTCAATACGTATACACACACCAACCACCAAGCGGGACAAGGAGAGAGTTGCAGATGACGACCAGTAGACCTGGAACCCAAATTATCTCTGGCAGACAAATTGAGCAGGCTCGATACGTAGAGTCTCAGTCCGTGCAATTCGAGATGTGCTTGGACCATGTCCGGAAAACCGGCACGCTTCCAGAAGAAAGAAATGGCACAGCTTGACACAGGATAGAATCGTTCTCGAGATAACGACAAGCTAGCTACTGGCTTAAATATAGCCAGCATTGTCAATAACTATAGAGGTACTACGGAGTATAATAACGGAGTTCACATCTTTATAAATGAGGAATATGTTTAGCGCACAAGTTACGGCAACTACCAGAGAACCCTCTCTAGTCAGACTATGCTATTTCTTTTCGACATCGGCTCGCCGGCACAGCAGCCCTTGTTTGAACATACCTAGGAATGACGCGTTACAGGTGTCTGCGTGTACTGAAATGCGTCGAAGGGGACAAGCTCTTGTGCGGGCCATCCATCCTCCTGCCAGTCGGGTGCCATTTGCCTGTCGTTGTATTGACGAGGCTACACAAGAACAGCAGCGACTCTAACACAACACGCTGTTCACACATATCTAGAGACTTCCTTTTTTTTGTGTAGCCTCGCACCCTTGATTGCGTAGTACGGCAGCTTTAATGCAGCTTCACAACATGGTTCTTGCCGTCTTTCTTTCAACCGTGTTTGGCGAATCCCAATGTGTGGCGGATACAACGCACCATATATCTATTCTGCTCCATATCTACCAACACCCACACGCATAATGTATCCGAGGATAGCTGCGAAAGAGAAGAGGCATTGCAATGACAGATAAATGGCAGATCACCCGGTGCTTTTCGAAATTACTTTGTCCAGCCGTCCCCCGCAGTATGGCCTGATTGGCTGGTCATCAACGCCATCGACTGTCCTGGGTGGATCTTGATGATGGAAACATTGTCAGATCTAAGCCTCGCTCAGCCCGCTACCCCCTGGCCCTGCCGCAATCTCTCCTACCGGCTCTCGAGAAGACTGGCCCAAGCCAACAGCTCCCAAGATGTTATTAAGAAGGGCTTAGACGGTGCTGCCCTGCAACGGAACCATCGGAGCTGTGTGCATGTGGCTTATAATAATAATATCAAATCAGTTGCCCCGAGCAAATCGTCATTGGGGTCCAGTGTGTCCTTTTCGTCCTCCCCGTGATCTTTTGCAAAAGGGATTTGTGTTCGGAAGCGTCCATTCCCTCTGCAGCAACGGGATATCTCATGATGGCTGTGCCATAGGAGATTGTGACCTTTATTTCTCATGTGGGCATACATATCTCGAGCCCGATTCCTGCGTTATTCAACATTTCCGCCGACAAACCACTCGCTCGCCCTAAGAACACTGCGAACAATGTCATCTTCCAATCCTACAAGGCCAATGAACCCAATGAAATGGTTCTTGTGCTGTTTCGACGACAACGATGAAGATGAGCAGCCACAACAAACTCCCCAGACACGCCAGGCTCCGAGGACACGATGGGACGCTGCACCGCCGGTCGATCCTGAGCTGGAGGAGCCGCCGCCGCCTCCACCCTATGCGCTCTTCGACCCTCACCCCGAAGACTGCGAGTGCGCGATCCATATCCACAAGCCCAGACCCAACCGGCCCATCGTGGTCGAGGCCTTCCAGTCCCAAGGATGCAACTCGTGTCCCCCGACGAACACTCTCCTCCTGTCGCTCCTGACCTTGGCCGACCCCAACATCCTCGTCCTCGACTACCACGTCACGTACTGGGACCACCTGGGCTGGACGGACCCCCTTGGCATCCCCGAGGCGGACGCGCACCAGCGGGAATACGCGCAGGCGAGCGGCACATCGAGAGTCTACACCCCTCAGGTGGTGGTGAACGGCGTGTCCGAAGGGGTGGGCAACTCGACGCGCAAGCTGGAGAAGCTGATCAAGGAAGGCGGGCGGCTGGCCAGCGAAGACTGGCCGTGGCTGCTGTTCTCCAAGGTCGACGAGGGCATCTTGATCCGCGAGGCCAGCGCGGCCGCCGCGGCGACGGGCCGACGGGGGCGGGTGATCGAGGTCGTCTACGATCCCACTCTGCGCGAGGTAGAGATCCCCCGGGGCGAAAACGCCGGCAAGACGCTGGCGCATCGCAACGTCGTCAAGAGCGTCAAGCCGCTCGGTGAGTGGCGGGGCGGGAGAGGGGTGGTCCAGCTGCCGCCACGCGATCCTGCGGACGGGCTGGAGAGGGTGCTGATTGTACAAGAAGGAGTCGGTGGCCAGATCATTGGAGTCGCTCGGATCCATTTCTAGGGATGTCAATGGAACCCCCCCCCTACCAGCCAAAAAAGCGTTGCTGAATCACAGCCGCGATCGGCTCATGAGGCACAGCATGCCGGAAGGGGATTTATACAGATTATTGCATTTCGTAATGAAAATTTGAGAATCTCAGCGGTGTTGGGATAGGCTTGTTTGTCTTGGGTTTTGTGGTATATGCTAGGATGCACGAGCCACGTCGAAACCCGCAGAAAGTTACTTTATGGGAGAATAGCAAGAGAAATATACACCGCTGAAAAAGGCCGTCATGACCAGAGGTCGAAAGGCTGGCAGTGGTTTGTTTCCCCGCGTAAAAGGCGTCTGCACCTAAACTTCAAAGCTTGGAGGAGACGGGTGACATGCACGATGAACAGCAGACTGTCCAACCCATCACGGTTTGTCTTGCCACTGTCCTTGCCTATCCCCTGGTCGTCTCTACGACTGCAGTCTTCTCCGACCCTTTGGCAGCGAGGTCAACAACTTCCTCGTCCGCATTCCGCTTGTCCATGTCAATCTCGTCGAAACCCAGTTCCTTTCGAACGTGGATCGGGATGGTGACGGTCTCCTCCTTGCCGTAGTTGGTGTCCGTGGCGTACTTGTAGGCAATGAAAAAGAGGATGGGCCAGCAGAGGGTGGTGAGGGCGAAGAGCGCGCCGTTGATGTTCTGGTAGGGAATGCGAGTGGCATTGAGGCCGAAACACACCGATGTGCCCGCGCTGAGGACTTTCACGAAAGAATACAGTCAGTTCGTTTGCATGCCTGTGCAATTCGTTGGGAGAACGACTTACCTCCGACGTATAGGCCACCGAGTGCCGCGGTTTTCCGTGGGTCGTTGGTGAACGTCGACAGAGTGTAGAGGACGACGCCCTGGAACCCTCCGTACAGGGCGGCGTACAGCAGATAGATGACGATGGCACCGGCGTAGGCCTTGTCATGGATGTCGATGTCCGGGCCCGGGACGGTCAGATCAAAGTCCCACGCCGCGAGCCAGGCCGTCTGGGCAATATATGTCCCCGTGAACCAGGTGCCGACAAATGCTGTCGCGATCATGAGACGCCTCCTCCTCGCTCCAAAGCGTTGATTGTCCAAGATCCAGGCCACGAAGTACGTCATGGGCATCTGGATGAGTCCGTTCAACAGGCTGTTCAGTGTCCGGGTTCGAAGATTGAAGATGTACGCATTCATGGTCGACTGGAAGGGGAACAACATCTCCGGGGTGAACATGCAGGGAATCAACAGCAAGACGCGCCAATCTTGGAGGGCGTCCAGTGTGAGCTTGATCGTCTCTCGCGTGGACATCTGCTCGAACCGCGCGATCGAGGTCCCATCGCACCGCCTCAATTTCGCCGGGGGCAGGATGAGCGCCGCAAAGCCCAGTGAAAAGACCTGGAGGACAATGAAGGTAATGTAAACCGCGCGAGGGACGCCGCTTGTGGTGGCATTCCACGAGATGCCCAATGCCACGGCCGCACCAATGGTGCCACCCGCGAGGTTGAAGATCCACTGAATTGCACGCCAACGGCCCTTGTGCTTCTCCTCGGGGTATCCCACCGACATAGATACTGAGGTCGTCCAGAGAAGGCCGGCCGTGAAGCCAAGGTATACACCGGAGAAGATGGGATACCACATGTGGCCTTTTTCACTAAAGTACCACATTGCGCCGTTGAAGACGGGGTAGCCCGTGCAAGCTGCCAGGAGCGTGATGCGAGGGCCAAAAATATTGAGTATGGTCCCGGCCGCTATGGAGGAAACAGCGAAGACACCGTTCAAGACACCGCTGGTTATGTTGGCCATGCGAAAAGAAGACGGTTGGCCGCCGCCAGCGCCGAGAAGCTGTGTTCCCGTCAGCAAAGGGATCCATTGCTCGAGTTGACGGGCTTGGGTAACCTACGTTCAAGGCAAGATAGAACCCAGGATTGAAGGCGATGCACATGCTAGACAACAGGATTTGGACCGATGGGCTGTTCAACAAGAGGGTCAACACTGGGAACTCTCCAAGGTACCAAGCACCTAATTGTTTGCTTGACGTACTTGTTGCGCCGAAACCATGGCAGTTTGACCATGGTCGCATCTTCTGCGGCGATGGAAGACATGATGAACTGTGTGTATCGGGCTTATTGCCGGAAGAATGTTGGAAACGACAGATTTCTGTTGACTCTTGCACCTTGGCTCTCTGCAAAATGGAACCTGGGTAGCGGGAAGATCAACCCCTGTGTTGGTTTATAGGAGTTTATATACCTTGCCGACATACCGGAAAGAGCCCTTGAAGATGAAGCGGTCGGTACCTGTATCTTATCAGGAAGACTAGTATTGGAGACCCCGGAGCCGGCTAGAGAATACTGCCGTTATTGAATTGGCCAGAACAGGCGCAAGATAACGGCCATCGCGTTCAAGGTGGCAACAAGAAGATTGACTTGCGATAGAGATAGACAGAAAAGCGGGAGCAGGACGGAGTATTCGTTGTAGATTCCCCTCTTGAGGATCGTATCTATCCGCGTGGGTTCCGCATCTAGAGGTCCAGAATCACCAGGCGCTGCACAAATATCAGTCCCAGGTTGGAAGTCTACAACGATTGCGCGCGGATCTGGAGTCGGAACAAACCTCTTGATATGCCGTGCCCTGTGGACGAGGCCCACATGCCCAGAGAGTTCAGTGGATACCGTCCTAGATTCTGCTGTCAGACAAAAACGCCCAAAGATTAGACTAGAGGCACGCGAGCCATGGTCGTCCAATTCTAGCCAGGCGGCTCATCAGCGGAAATCAGCCATTAGCGGTTTGTCCCTCGCTGTGGACTTCTATCCTGGGCCGTTTTGATGGGAGGATCGACTGAGCGGCACGCAAGTAGTCGCCCAATTGGTGTTTCTTTGTTGCGCAGGACGGCATCTTGATATATAACAAACATCCTCATTGGCAACCAATTCCGTCCGTAGCCAGACAGCGCCGCGTGTTCTCTTGTCTCGTGTCTCGATAGTCCAAGCTCCAGTCTCAGGAGCCATAACATTTCTTGGTCTCGACCCTGTTACCCGAGGAGATGCCGGGTAGACCTCCGTTTGACAGCTTGCCGCTACGAAAGGGCGACCCTCCGTTCTCGGCTTGGGGGCTGTATGGCGATGATGACCAGCTGGGCGCCCTGAACCTTCTTACCCCGGAAAATACACTTGCCGCGGCAAAGGGCGAGATTCAGACCGGGATCCGCGTCGCCCTCGACCCTCCTTTGGATGCCTTGCTGGCTCCGTCCATTGGCCGCAGGAAGCTCACCCAGACGATCGTCCGTGTCGGCGACAACATACCGGCTCACGATGATGTGTTGGAGTTCAATACACAGGTAGGTAGGACGAGTATTTTCTGAACACCACAATTGACTCTGGGGTGACTGCTCTAGATTGGCGCACAGTGGGATGGACTCCGGCATATGACATATCACAAATCAAGCATATTCTACAACAATACCTCCCTCGACCAGATTTCCGGAGCCAATGCCAATCCTGATGCTTTAGGGATTGACGGTAAGCCTCTGCCGGAGTTCTTGATCCCACAGTCTCTCAAATGGCCCAGATCAAGGGACTGATGGCTTGTCTTAGCATGGGTCAAACGAGGATCGATTGCCGGTCGGGGTGTTCTCCTCGATTACTATGCCTACTGTCAACATGTGAATAAGGAATATGGTTTGATCAACTGTGCCCATGCAATCACTTACCAAGACCTTGTGGAATGCGCCCAGTTCCAAGGTACAGAAATCCGCGAGGGAGACCTGCTCTTTGTACGGTCCGGCTTTTGGGTAGGGTACAGACACCTAACGGAGGAAGGGAAGACAGCTTGGGGTGCAGCAGCGCCACGCGACTGTAAAGCCGTGGGCGTGGAAGCGACGAGAGCGATGGCGAGGTGGCTATGGGAGAGCGGCATATCCGCATGCGCCGGCGATGCTCCAGCGTGGGAGAAAGTCCCCAGCTGGGACTGGCCTGCGTCTGCTGGACTCGAGGGTCTCAGTCTTCACGAAATCATGTTGGGTGGCTGGGGAATGCCTATCGGTGAGACTTCCCGTTCACCTGCTCGGCCTTGACCAAGAGCGATATCGCTGACTCCTGGCGTAGGCGAGTTGTTTGATCTGGAAACACTCAGCGAAGTCTGTAAGGAGCACGAACGCTGGTCATTCTTCGTCACTAGTGCTCCTTTGCATGTCCATGGGGGGGTGAGCAGCCCACCAAACTGTATCGCTATCTTCTAATAGAAAATATCCGAGTTCGGATCAACTGGTTAGGTCAAGGGACCAAAATCGGAAAGCGAACGGTCTTTGTCTACCGAGAAAACCTCCATCTGTGGAAGAAAGTTGTTAAGGCTTGGCTTGCTTGCGCGACGACCATATCGGAATTCAGTGTAGACATAGTCACTCTTTGTCGATTGTCTCTCATCCTACCTCGTACATGGGACAAGATTGGAATGTCACAACGAAAGATATCGCGCACATCCCCGCCAGGCTGGTTCCCGAATTGCCGGATTAACTTCGTGAGGCGGCTAACTAAGGACCTTTAAATATGTACTTTGGGGTACCTCGGCCATTGATATGGATTATCGATATCACGACCAAGAGGGAGATTATTGCCTGTCATCACGGGACACTTTCGAGATGCCTGCTACTACTTGGCAAGAGACTGCCGTTGTATGCAACTCATGCCCTATCAAGTGCTTTCCAGTCAAAGACCCCTCAGTCTGATTCATGATATAGGTTGCACAGGCAGAACTCAAGTCCAAAATCCCCACAGAGTGGCTTCTGCCGGAGGAGATATTATCATCTAAACTCCGCAATGTGATACCTATCTTCCGAAGCTGTGGTCTATTGACGGAGCGAGAGCTGGAAATCACAGAAGTCGAAGACTGCGTAACACTACTGGAGCAGGTGCATTCTCGAAAATGGTCGGCGCTCGAAGTCGCCGTCGCCTTTTGCAAGCGGGCAGCCATTGCGCAGCAACTGATCAATCCCCTGATGGACATCGATTTCGAGGGGGCGATGAAGCGGGCAAGGGAACTGGATGACCACCTTGATAAGGAAGGGAAACTGGTTGGCCCGCTCCACGGGCTACCGATTAGTTTCAAGGTGAAGTCTCCCTCTCCAGCATCGAGCTAGTTGCGGGCTGGGCCATGCATGACTGACACCTCTGGGAGCAGGATCTCACGGACGTCAAGGGCATGAAAATAACCCTGGGGTTCGTGGCTCTGGCGGACCAAGTCTCCGAGACCGACGCTGTAGCCGTGCAGTCTCTCCGCGAGGCGGGATGTATCGTGTACTGCAAGACGACAATGCCACAAACCGGAATGGTAAGGTATTTCCATTTGTGTCGTGCCGGTGCCTATTGTAAGAGACAGATGCTGATTGGAATGCGATTTTCCTCGGTCTGGTAGGCTCTGGAAACAACCTCTAACCTCTGGGGCCGCACGTTGAATCCTTTCAACACTGATCTCTCGAGCGGAGGCTCTTCTGGTGGTGAGGGCGCCTTAAATGGCTGCCATGGAGCACCGATTGGCATTGCAACGGATATCGGAGGCTCGATACGCGCTCCAGCAGCGTTCAATGGTCTTTATGGCATTCGCCCGACTTCCCGCAGGTTCAGCTACAAGGGTAATGCCATGGGTTTCACCGGTCAAGCCGCCATTCTGTCGAGCATAGGTCCCGTGGGGCGAAGCCTTCGAGATATTGAACTGATCCTCAAGGTCTGGAATGACTTCGAACCCTGGAACTACGATCCAGTAGTCGCCCCCATAAAATGGCAACCTGCTCCAATTCCAAGCAAAGCCACTATTGGCGTCATGTACTGGGATGAGGTCGTCATGCCACATCCACCTATGCAGAGGGCTGTAAAAATGGTGGTTGACAAATTAAAGGCTGCCGGACACGAAGGTATGTTTACATTCAGCGGCGTGCATCTTTGCATCCAAATTATACTAACTTGCAGTAGTCATCGAATTCAAACCCTACAAACACGGGGAGGCTTGGGATCTCACGGTATGGTTTTGTTCATGTCGGAGTATAAGAAGACAGTTAACAATATACAGTTCAAACACTATTATCCCACCGCCGGCAGCAACGTGAAGGAGTTAATCGACCGGACTGGGGAGCCGGTGATACCGGCGGTGGCCAAATACTTTGAGCGGGCGAAATTGCTGGATGTCCACGAGTTGACTCAGTTGTTCAAGTGAGTCCCGCAACCCGAATGTCGCCGTTTTCCGGCCCTCCTAATTGTGATTTAGGGACCAACGACAATACCAGACAGAGTATCTGGCCCATTGGATGGCCACAAAGGCTCGAACATCGACGGGAAAACCTATTGACGCATTACTGACACCGTCGATGGCATCGGCCTCATTTCCACATGACTATCTCCCGTAAGTGCGACGATGCTGTTTCTTCGCATGTCAATTCGATCAAGCTCACTTTGAATTAGCTGGTGGGGATATCTCTCTCAATGGAACCTCCTGGATTATCCGACCGTGATCCTGCCTGTGACAAGCGTCAAGCCCGAAGACGTTAAAGACACCTCATACAAACCGATTAGCCAACTCGACCAGGAGACGTACGACATGTATGATCCTCAGATGTTCGCCGACGCTCCAGTCTGCGTCCAGTTAGTGGGTCGAAGCTTGCAGGAGGAGAAGCTGATGGCTGTCGCGATGGCGGTGGATACGGCCATCAAGCAATGAGCAACTATGCTGGTGTGAAACTTAGACATAGCGCGCTAGATTCCACAGAAGAGTGCGTCGAGATCGATTTAATGTCACAGGATAGAAGACAAGAGAACTTTACTACGAGAGCATACTTGATCCATTGCGAGGTATCTGGTCTATTTTGGGTTGTGAAGAACGATTGACCCATCAACATCTATAACAGTGCCGACCCATATTTGACTATAAACTCTTCAATCACCTTGAGCAAGCGTGTGCAGTGTACGTCGGTAACCTCGAGAGTCAGAGCCAAAAATCCTCGCGATGCGATGAAGATGCCGTTGGCGAGAAGATGGTGATAGAACAGCTCGCGCAGGATCCCACTCTCGGGTCCGCTGAAGCGAACGGCAAAGAGACTACCACGCCCTATGACGAACAT